TTGCTCTTATATGGCTTAGGAGATGTAATGTCTGAAATCCTTCAGAACAAATAACATTAGACAAAGGTAATGAAGGCCTTTAGTGGCATTTGAATACTAGCACCAGGTGTGTTGGATCTGAACTCACCAGGGTGGGAGATCTCCAGGACCAGGACTGGGCACCCCGGCCTACTGGATGCCTCTTTCATCCGGTCCTAGTTCATTGTGGACTATATCTCCTTCTGTAATTACTTCCATCTTTTGGATCCCAAATGAATCTGAGCTTTGTGTAAAATTGCAGGGCATTAGGAGTCATTCAATGTGATCATGTGACACATTATTGGCCTTTTGATTGGCTGTTTCATGAAATTTGTCTCACAAAGTTGAGCCACATGCAACTGTTGCAGCTAAGTTTCAAATGAGTTGCAGGTTGCTTTACATTACGCAACTTAGGTGAAATTTAGTTTCATGTAGGTTTCAAGCAACTAAAGTTGCATTGAAGTTTGACCATGTAAAGCCACATCTGAGCACATGTGACTCTGTTGACATCTCTACAAAAACTCAAGAGGAGACATGAGATTACTGAGGGTTTTTGTTTTTTAGGAGAAATATTTGAGCAGCAGGAGGCATGTGCACGGCAGTACATGAGTATAGTTGACTAAAACTAAATTAAGCATAAAAGGAAAAAAAATCATTGATGTAAAAAAATGATGGTTTCTGTTTCTGTCTTAGCACCGTCTTGTGAGAATGTGTAAATAAATAATAAATAAACAAATAAGCAAATGAATAAATTATATTTGGCAGATTTGTAAATTTAGTAGCTTTAAACACGCATCTTAATCTCAAGCTGAAATTCCCATGTAATTTTGCAAGCTCTCTCTCCCTCCCTTTCTCTCTCTCTCTCTCTCTCTCTCACCCACACATACTCACACAGGCAGAGGATATGACTCATTCTGGCTCACTCCTGGCCACCGTGAAAGTAAAAGTGCATTACAAGTCAATTACAGGAGGATGTTCTCCTGCATCTCTTAGCTAATAAAACATGGAGAAAAGCTTTGAAGTGTTCACAGGTGTTCAAAGCTAATTAAAACAAATACAAGATATAGTCTAAAAACCCTTTCATATTTTTAAAAATGATTTTCGTAGGGCTGTACAACATGAAATGCCAATACAGAAATCACAGCAACAAAAATTCTTGAGCTGGAGTGTGAGGTCTGGCAGTGGGACAGAAGTTTAAAGATTAAAAGTTTCATCAAAAGTTTTCAGTCATATTCTTCACAATACATTGGAAATAAATTTCATGAGACCTGTAGGTTCATATTATGACTGTTCAATATTCAGTCAATGGTCCTGTCACTGAATAAGTTCCCTAAATGTTCAGAAAGGAACTATCTAGAACCATTTCCTGCTGGTTCTTTCCATAACCTCTGAGAAAAGGTTACCTTTTTTAAAAGGATAAATAGAAGTTACACTGTTAAAGGTGTAGCTTGGGGTTCTTTAGAGTGATGCTGCAACAAAACCACTTTTCCCTTTAGAACATTCAAAAAAGGCTGGGTCTCTAAAAACTTTTTTTATTGTAAAATGTGTGAAGAACCCTTTAAAAGGTGAATTCCACCTAATTTTCAAAATGTCATTCAGTGAAATGGTGCACTGTAGAGAAATCAACTCGATTTCTTTACAGTGGTGGTGATGGGAACCAAAAGATGGTTCTTTAGTCAAGGGAATGGTTCTGTATAGAACCATTTCATGCTTAAACAGTTCTTTGCATGGTGAAATTGTTCTTCAGATTGATGGAGGGTGTGTTGTATGTAGTTCTATACTGAATCTTTTATATTTTACCTATATAGCAACAAAAAGAGTTTTTCTACTGTTGCAAGCTTTGTACCAACAAAGAAGTTCTCCACTAAATAAATAAAACAAAACAGGACATGTTATCTGATCTCAGGCCCTTCAGGTTTTCTATTTTCACTGATTTTGTTGCTGCCAGAGCAATGCGTCTGTTTCTGGATTATGAATCGCTTTGGCTTGGAGGAAGAGAAGAAATCTTGATTGGAGTTTGTCTTCAGGTGCACAGATCTTACACAAAAAGCATAAAAAGACAATGTAGTTGAAATAGAATATTGCACACTAATTATTCGCAAAAGAAAAAGAATGAAAATTTGCTGATAGTGAACATAAACATGAATGTGAACTGTTGTTTGATCCCATTTTTCAGGTATTTATTTATTTATTTAGAGTAATTGTTAAAGTTTGGGGGGGCCTCCTAAGCTTCTGGTGTCCAGTCCCTGTCCCTGCGCTTTTGGGATGAGCCAGAGTGGCGTCCAGAACTAATCATCCACCATTAGTTCATGACCTTACTACTGCACTTGTGACTAAATGCAATCAAATCCTCATAGCCGTGTTCCACCATCTACTGTGAAGAGCAGAGGCCGTTACTGTAGCAAGGGGGAAGTGTTGGATAAGCTTTTTTTTTTTTTTCTTCAGATTGATGGAGGGTGTGTTGTATGTAGTTCTATACAGAATCTATTATATTTTACCTATATAGCAACAAAAAGAGTTTTTCTACTGTTGCAAGCTTTGTACCAACAAAGAAGTTCTCCATCTGTATCATTTTGCCATACAACACCCTGCATGTACTTCTCCACCATGGATGTAGTTTTGATTTAAATAATTATCTCAAAACTATTGCAATATGTCTCGGGCATCAGGCAGCGTATTCCACTTCACGTAATAGCTTAATGTGAGGGAGCTTTTAGAGGCGTTAAAGTCTTCAGACGTTTGGTTCCTATCAGCACCACTGTGAGCAATTTTACATCGAACCACTCTGAATGACACTATTTACATCTTAACGATTTGATTATACAGAAATTCTGAGAAATAGGCAAAATTCACCTTTATCGTTCACAAATGGTCAGTTGTAAACATTTTCCCTTTACCTACATGTCCAACGCAATCCAAGAACCAGCTAGGAACCATTATGTTTAAGCGTGTAGCTCTACTTGGGGTTTCTTTAAACAGTCAAATCGCCCGTCTGCATCAAATAGAAGGAACTGTTTTAATTAGCGGTATCAGGCCTACAAGCTAACAAAAGTTCAAATGAATAAAAGATGTAAAAAAAACAAAACACAGACAAATGGCCCGTGTTCTGGTGGCCACTGTCTTTTGTTCATTTAGCGACAGCAGGAATCGCAGCAAGTTGCAGCCAGACTCTCAAACTGCCAGCTGAGAGGGTTTGTGTTATGGGAGCACGACTTACACACACTGAACACATCTACAGTCAGGACAAGAGCGCCTTCCAGCGGAGCTTTACCGAACAGCAGGCAGCTGACTACCACAGGTAAAAAGAAGTGAAAGAAACCTAGAGTCACCCGCAGTGCTTGCATGGATCAGTGACTAATCAGAGTATTAATTTATATCTCAAAAATAATGAATGAATCAGGAAATCCCTGTAATACTTAGCCATTCTGGGGGAATGTTTTAACTGCGTAACAGCTGCAAAATGTAACCATTCCCCCAGAATGTCTAAGTAGTACAGGGTGTTCCTGATTTATTAATCACTATTCAATTATTATTTCATAATTAATTATTAATTAATTGATTATTAATGAACTATGTGTATTATACTTCAAGACCAGTCAGCAGATAGCACACAATCTACTCCAATTATAAAATACATGACTTACTGGCAAGGTTTGATGTGCAGTATCTCTCATACATGTATTTGAAATATATACTTTTTCTTTGGGGAAAAAACTATGTAATTTGTACCAAAACACTTCAGGGCTCTGTATTTTTGCATTTTCAAAATATCAGTAATACTTTGCCCCCACATGGCCTAATCACAAATATGCAAACTGACCCCAGCAGGTGTTACACAGTGACTTGTTAATGTTTCCCTTAATGGTATATTATTTAGTATCAGAGTAAACTCTTTGTCCAAAATTATCCAGTCATCCACTCTAAGTATTGAATTGAGCACAAACACAGCTTGTATAAAGCCCCCCCGGCATTAGGCTGTGTAGCAGTGGAACTGTGTTCTCTGGAGTGGGGGAGCACCATAGTTGCAGAGATAGATTACAGACCGGGCCAGTGGGGCCAGTCCCCAGAGGCCTTGAAGAGTCTCAGACTACAAGGCCCAAGGGTGCTCAAATACTTGGGGCAATCCACTGCAGAAATAAGCAGCGGATGAACGAATAGCCGTTGGACATGTACAGAACACTAAATAAATAAAACAAAACAGGACATGTTATCTGATCTCAGGCCCTTCAGGTTTTCTATTTTCACTGATTTTGTTGCTGCCAGAGCAATGCGTCTGTTTCTGGATTATGACTTGCTTTGGCTTGGAGGAAGAGAAGAAATCTTGATTGGAGTTTGTCTTCAGGTGCACAGATCTTACACAAAAAGCATAAAAAGACAATGTAGTTGAAATAGAATATTGCACACTAATTATTCGCAAAAGAAAAAGAATGAAAATTTGCTGATAGTGAACATAAACATGAATGTGAACTGTTGTTTGATCCCATTTTTCAGGTATTTATTTATTTATTTAGAGTAATTGTTAAAGTTTGGGGGGGCCTCCTAAGCTTCTGGTGTCCAGTCCCTGTCCCTGCGCTTTTGGGATGAGCCAGAGTGGCGTCCAGAACTAATCATCCACCATTAGTTCATGACCTTGCTACTGCACTTGTGACTAAATGCAATCAAATCCTCATAGCCGTGTTCCACCATCTACTGTGAAGAGCAGAGGCCGTTACTGCAGCAAAGGGAGAAGTGCTGGATAAGCAGTTTTTTTTATTTATTCATTTATTTTATTTGTTTTTCGTTTATCCCTGCTCACCAGTAAGTATAAATGTAAAGCCAAGCTACTGAACACAGTGCTGCCTCTGCTGATGACCAAATAAGAAAAAAAGCAACTTTCGGGAGATGTTTTGTTGCACATCGTAACAGCTTTGTCTCCTCGTTGGCGATTCTCCTTTAAAAGATGACGTCACCTCCCTGAGTTTCCAGTTCGCCCATCACCGGGTACAGCCGCTCCACAGCCTCAGAGAGAGCACTGCCGAGCCGGGAGTTGGCAGCCTGAAGAAAGCGATATTCAACTGACAGCAAAGATGGACTTTTTAATAGGAAATCCTTTCTCGACTCCTGTAGGTCAGCGAATAGGTGAGTGCAGCAGTTTCAACTGGAGAATGGACGCGTAGTTCGGTACTTCGAGCCTGTTGCATTCGACATAGAGCGTGTTTACATGTAATGGTAGCACAAAACTCCAGCTTTAAGTTAATTCACTCTCAGTGTGTTGTATCAAAATGGCCTGTCGTCATGTCAGTGCAATATAGTTTGACAACTGCATGAAAATACGTCGTATAATGAATTGATTAAGACTGACAGCAGAGTAATGGATTAAGTCCAGACTGACATCACATCAGTTCAATCCAGCCGAGGAGGCGGGCTCAGACCCTGTAAACGGGATTTCTGTGTTGGTTTGTTGTAGTTGTCAAACATTGGTGGGTGGGGAATAGGCCTGTTTGCTCTGCAGCTCAAGGTTTCTTTGCTAGTTCGCTGTGTGACCTAGTTGCTGAATGTCTTTACTGTAAAATACCGGTTAGGATTGTTTTGTCATATGATTTTTCACTAACCTTCTACTTATACACTCTTAAAAAAGATGGTCCTTCGAGGCTTGTTTAGTAAGGAGAATAGTAGAACCATGAATTCTGTATAGAACTATGTCATACTTAAATGGTGCTTTGCATGGTGAAATGGTTCTTCAGATTGATGGAGAATGCGTTGTAGGTTCTATGTAGCACCAGAAAGGGTTCTGCTATTGTTACAATGTCAAGCTTGTAACAACAGTGGAACCCTCTTGGTGCTATGTAGAACCTTTTTCAAAAAAGTTCTGTATAGAACCATGAAAAACACATTCTGCTTCAATCTGAAGAATCACTTTGCTATACAAAGAACTATTTAAGCACGAAATGGTTATATATATTACTAAATGATAATAAATATAATAATAATAATAATAATAATAATAATAGTAATAATCTTCATTTATAGGAATTTTCATGCCAGTGGCAACTCAAAGTGCTTTACAGACAGGTGATAAAGCTTAATGGTATTAGAAGAAATTATGCATATTAATTTGAAATCATATAAGAACCACTCCCTTTACAATAGAACCCTCTAATTTCCGCATAATTCAATCCTGCAGATGTAAACAGCGTCAAAGAGGTTTGATGTGAAGTGGTGCATCGTAGAGAAACTTTTTATATGTAACGTTGATGATGGTAAAATAGTGGTAAATCTGAAGAAATATGTTTCTATTTTGCCTCACTGCACCCTGCATGTACTCCTCCACCATGAATGAAAAAAAAAATAGATATTAGTCCAAAAGCATATATAAAATCTATCATAAAACATGTTTCAGGCGTCAAAAAACATTCATAACCATTCCACATAATGCCTTTCTTTGAGGTAGCTTAAACACTTCAGACATCTGGCTACTCACATCATCACTGTGAACAATCAGGCTTGGTAAGTTTCTCTAGAGTGGCGCATTTCACATCAAACCACTCTGAATGACTTGCATTATGCAGAAAATTGGTGGAAATCTCCCTTAAAGAAAAGGGAAAAGTGTTCATTTGTTAGTATGCACATTTCATTTACCAGCTTTTAGTACTATATACTATAAGGCTATAAGGATTTTGGTAACAACAGTGGTGAAAGTCCCACCTACATTGTATAAAATCTTTTAAAGAAGGCCTGCATTATGCATAAAGAAATGGAAAGACACTTTTAGACAACAGCCTAATCAAGTTTTCATAGCTCCGCACCTCACCTACATTCCAGCACCATCCCCTCCCTTTCAGTTGAGCAGGGGAACATTTCATTTGCCTGAATAAACGTGTGTGCCAAGGCAGCTGATAGTCACACGAAGCAATGGTAGAGTGTGTGCCAGTATTAATGAACAAAGAATGATTTAAAGCCACCCAGGGACGTGAGTAGGCATGAGCTAAAAGCTTCGAGCAACTGAATAGCTAAAGTTGCATTAAGCCTTTTTTTTGGGAGTTGGTGGTATAGGGCTAGGCCGGCCCAACCCTCATCTCTGCACTTAACCATTATAGGAGAAGCCACTGTAATCACATGACTAGAAAATGACAGCCTCTACCAGGAGTGATGGAAACCCTGTACATGTAAAGTAGCAGACTAAAACATGTTCTGTAGTGTATAAGTTAGCAAGACCTGAAAAAAAAGTTTAAATTTCTCTCTCTTTTGGTGTTAAAAGCCTCTAGTTAAAGGCTGTGGTATCTTTCTATGTTATTATTTTGTCAACAAACAGTCCAGCATGTTTTCAAGGTTATAGCCGTTGCTGCAATGAGTAGTAAGGTGATAGTATGCTGGCATAATAGATGGGCTAAGTGGAAGAGATACCTCTTGTAAAATGAGCTTTCACTTATGCTCTTGGCTGAAAGCTATTTCAGTAGTCCTAGGCTACTTACTGAAGTTGATCTTAGGGATTATTCTGAAGGGGATGTTACATGTTAGCGTACCCCCTCAGAATGTCATATGGTTATTATTAGCACTGAATAATCACTATAGTATTATAGTTAAGCTAACATCTTTTTACGTTCTCTTTATTTGATATGTTCACTAAAACTGTTGTTGTGTATGTGTGTGTGTGCATGTTAGAATATGCTACAAGCTCCAGTCTGCAGTCAGAGGACTGGGGCCTAAACATGGAAATCTGTGACATCGTCAATGAGACGGAGGAAGGGTATGTGTCAGATCTCAACAGCAGTGTTGTTTATGCCCCCATAAAAGGACTCATTCATTTCAGTTCTTTAATATTGTTGCATTATGCTGCTTTGTGTCAAAAATGTTGGAATCACTGTTCAAAAGGTTGCAAGGTTTTCAATAAAAATAAAAGTAATTGCATTGAAGAAATATGTATACAATTATTCAAATATATGAGTCCTCTGTGATTTTACAGCAGGTTTCAAGTAGTTAGTAAGAAGCTACGAAGCATGTTAGATGTGTCCAGAATAATGAACAGAGTGTAGATGATTCTCCAAAAGGTGTATTAATGAAGTGATAATAAAATTCCTCATTTTTCAAAGGTGGTGATCAAATTTCAAGGCATAAAACCTGACACAAATAATTGTAAATAGAGAATTGCAGTATATGATTTATCATTAAATAAACTCATTTAATACACTTTTGTTATACTTTCTATGAGCAGCAAAGTCACAAAATAAAAAGCACTGCTATGAACAATGTGCCAAACCGATATATAAATTATTGATGACAGTGATTCCAAACTTTTAAAAGGTAGTGTGTAGTAGTTTATTACTATAAAAAAATAGTTTATTACCTAAATTATAGTAGTTTATTACTACAAAACCTTATTATAGTAGTTTGTTACCTAAAAGAACAAAAGCTATTAAAATGACAGTGATTCCAAACTTTTAAATGGTAGTGTACAGTAGTTCATTACTATGTGGTAGTGCATTACCACTATATGCATCAAACACATTAACACTTAGTTATACCATTTATATTACTGTTTTGTTACTATTCTGTTTTCAGACCTAAAGATGCTGTCAGAGCAATAAAGAAGAGGATTGTTGGGAATAAGAATTTTAGAGAAGTCATGCTTGCTTTGACTGTGAGTGGCTCACTGTATACTCCTCCCTCCCCCGACGTCTCTGATTGGTTTTACATTTAGTCCCTTGATGCCTGGGCTTATTATTCAGCTATTAATCATAAGCCTGTAGTAACTACTCTGAATGCGTAAGTACTATGAAACTAATATGTTAGTTATAGATAGATAGATGGATAGATTCAACTTCATTGTCATTGCTCAGTACAAGTACAAGGCAACGAAATGCATTTAGCATCTACCAGAAGTGCAAATGGTAGCAATAGTGCAAAACAGACAGTGCAAATGTGCAATAACAGGCATAAATATGACATATCTATAAAATATAGAACTATATGAACAATATATGCACAATTACAAATATATATCTGAATATATATCTGAATCATACTGAGTAAGCAGTTATGTGTTGTATCCTATATACCTATATACAGTGAACAGTCTGTTGTATGGAAATACAAGGCATAATAAATAATAAATAAATATGGTGTGCAACATGCAATATTACTAGATAAGTGGAGTGGTGTGGAGTTCAGCAGGGTGATGGTGGAGGGAAAGAAGCTGGACCTGAGCCGTCTGGTTCTGGTCCGAATGCTTGTGTATCTCCTCCCGGATGGAGGTGCTTGAAAAAGCAAAAGTTACTACTGGACTCTCACTAGGGATGTCACAATATGCATATTAATATGATTTTTCTCCGGTACAGAGGTTGCAATACAATTCAGTTACAGTTAGATTTAATGCTTTAAAAGTGTTTGTGATGTCAGACATACTTAAATGTGTCTTTAAAAACACTTTATGATATTCATAAAAGCGACAGCCACAAATAAAAGAAGAAACTGTGTGCATATATATTTTTTTTTGTAATTCTGTGATCAGATAATGCAGTCTTTAGGCTTTGACCAAAAAATAGAAGCAAATAATGGATGTTGTTATTTCTTTATTATTTCTGTTTTTAAAATGTATTGCGGTGCATAAAAATTATGTATTGTAAAATTTGTCTATCATTTGTGTACCTTACTCTCACTGTCTTTCATCTTATTTATATTTTTTCTCCTTGTTGGTGCCTCAGGTTCTGGAGGCTTGTGTAAAGAACTGTGGCCACAGGTTCCATCTCTTGGTGTCAACCAGAGAATTTGTCGAGGGGGTTTTGGTCCAAACAATTTTACCTAAAAATGAGCCTCCTCTAGTTCTTCATGACAGAGTACTGAGTATTATACAGGTAAGAAGAACTAATGTCAGTCAGACTGGTTTGAAAGGCAGCCAGTATTGTTTTTGCAAACAAAGGTCAAAGAATGTTGAGTGTTCTAGTGTTGTTAGTTTTGCATGGTTAATATGTCAGGCAGGGCACTGGGTGTGTACGTAACAAGTGTCTGTCTCTCTCTCTCTCTCTCTCTCACTCACTCTTATGCTCTCTTTCTTTCTGTCTGTAGGCCTGGGCTGATGCATTCCGCAGTTCTCCAGATTTAACAGGAGTAGTTTTTGTGTATGAAGATCTCAGAAGGAAAGGGCTGGAATTTCCAATGACTGAGCTGGAAAATTGTTCCCCAATCCACACACCCATCAAGGTGGGAAGATCCACACATGGATCTTCTCTTTTGAAAACTAAACTCTGCCCTTTCTGAGACTTTTAGCCCATAGAAGTATAGCATTACCCTTGTTTTGCTATGCTAGTGAAATGAAATTGATGAGTTTCAGTCCAAAACACATTACAGACCACTTTTATGATATATGTTTTTGGGAGTTGGGTTACACAAGAAATAGTAATAATATATTATGAATATTACTACCTTTATTATAGAACATATAATTAAAAACATAATAAAACTGTTTTGAGAAGTGCTTTACTGATGAATTTTTACATACACTATACTGATCAGTTTCATTTCCGGTTTAATAGTACTCATTACCTTGAGGATTTGTCTTCATTTGTCTTCATTAGCGAGTTCCTGACCAGAAGTTCCCCGTAACCATGTCTGAAGCCCCCCTCTCCCCTACACACCCAGCTCAGTCCCCACCGCAGACTCCTACCATGCAGAACACAGAAGGCCCCATCACTTTATCGCCTGATCAGGTAAACTCCACATATCCAATTAAATAAGAGAAGCCATTCAGCATTAAGATCAGAAAAATCACTGTAAAAGACACTATGCTTGGCAAGGTTGAACTTCAATGTAAGAGGAGGACCCGAAATGCGATGTGTACAATAACTACAACTTTTATGATAGATAAATTGTAAATAATAAAGTTTACTATAGAAATTTTAGAATGACAGTCCATGTAAGCATCTGAACACATTTTACACAATTATATTTGTATATTACATATGTATTACATTACAAGGATATTACATTGGAATTACATAATGTGCATAACACATATATTACATTGTATATGCTGGGTAGTCAGTTTATTAAGCTCACCAACCATATAGATGCACTTTGTAGGTACACAATTACTGACTGTAGCCCAGTTGTTACTATGCACAAGTTGTCAGCCACCTTCTACCCCATTCATCAATAGAACAAATTGACCACTGATGCTGGTTAGAAGATGACAAGAGAACAACAAAGTATGAAAAAAGATGAGCAGTAATACCTAACTGTACACCTACTAGGCATACATACAAAGTGTTCCTAATAAAGTGGCCACTCAGATAGCAGACAGTTCTAGGCAGATTGACTACTGGGCAGATGTTAGACATGCGGGCCATAATAGGGCCAGATGTTGTGCAGCTTTGTGCGGTTTTGCACTGTGTCTATGTTTGTGGGCAAATTCTGCCATGAATGTTGTGGACCAGCAATGTAATTGGGCCAGATTTGGGCCACATTTGTTAGTCCTACTTTACAATGTGCAGGCCAGATCTGGGCCAAGGACCCAACCGTTTACTGGGCCAGAACTAACCCAAGGATGTGGCCCACAAGTGGGCAAGACAGATTTTGCTAACTGGGCAGTAGCTACAAAGTAGTAAAAAGTAGTACAAAGTAGTAAAATGTTGCATCTCCAAACAGGTGTTTGATATTATGGTGCTGTTGGTTCTTCTTGCAGGTGAAGAAGCTGAAGGCTGACCTGGAGGTAGTTCGTAGTAACCTCAGAGTGATGTCAGATATAATGATTCAAATGGATCCTGGACGCATTCAGAAATCTGACGCAGAACTCCTGCAGGTGAGAGATACACCCATTACCACACATAGTAAGGCCCATATTATAACCAAAGAAATTGTAACTTTTGAATGCACACATCCACTTTTGCCAATGTCATTCAATATTCATGACAATTTTGACAGTAGCCTCTTATCTCCATATCTTATCAAAATTGTTTAAGCCTTTCTCTTTTTATTGTTCTCGTCAGTAGCAGTTGTACTCCTCATGTAAGGCAACACAGGAACGAGTAGTGCACCTCATTCCCAGAGTAACTGAGGAGACGTTGGTAGAGCAGCTGCTGGTTGCCAATGACGACATGAACGCAACCTTCACACGATATCACAGGTAAGAAGCAACTTAAGGAACTGACATTATTGAGGGGATTTTTTAAGTTTTACAGGTTACACAGAATTCCATGGATTACTGCATGGATATACCAGGGCGTTCAAAAGTTTGGAATCTGGATACTGGAATCAGTTTTTTCAACATCATAAAACCACTCTGCATTCAGATAAATGGATATAGCCAATGTATTTTGCTAAACCGATGTAACTTCCGAGGTTTTATATAATTAATAGGATGCTAAGTAGCTGTGAATAAAATTCAGGACATTTTAGGTTTGTCCAGAATGGTAAACAGATCTGTGGAAGATTGAAGAATTATGATGAAATTGAGAATTAATTGTATCTGCAATAAAACAATTTAAGAATATAATTTCCTTAATTATTTTGTCAATTCTAGCTAGCAGTCAATGTAAGCTGTCATTTCCATTGAGGGGACATTTCTACTGTAGTAGAAATAGCATTTTGTCAAAAATACTAGGCTCCATTAGCATACTGCATTCAGTTTAAGAACTAGTCATGTCATGTAAGAAAGCTTACCATGTAAAAACAGTTTACTGAAATTTGATTAATTTATTCCATACTTGGAAAATATACATATCAAGCATAATCTTTTATATATGTTTAAATTGGTTGAATTTCAGAAAACATCAAACATCTTCACTCCCAGCATGTGCTAAACTGCTACTCTCTGTTTCTATGGTCACCAGTTTTTCAAAGTTTTATGAAAGCTTTATCAAAAACCTTTTGTCATTGTGGTGGAAATGAAAAAAATCAAATGAAAAGTTTTGGGGTCAGCAGTATTTTGTTTAAGAAAAACAACAGGAAAAATCTGTTTTGATTTAACTGACTCAATTTTAATGTGCAATAGAATTTTGAATTATTGTATCCCCTAGGGTACAAAAAGATCATAGATTTCTAAACGTAAAGATGATATAGCTCAACTCAGCTACAAATAAGATATGTGTCAGCAATTATTATGGTTTCTCTAGCCGAGTGCCTTGAGGGTAGGGAGGTCACATAATACTAGTTCAGATAAGTGCATTTGGCAGGTGTTCAGTGATAATTTGCATTTTAAACTTTAACACATTGTATCACAAGATATTCAGATTCAGAGAGAAATACTAGCATGTTAATCAGTGCTGAAAGGCTTCACTGTGACCATGTGATAGTTTAAAGTACTTTAAACTATTAAACTATTAAATGCTGTCATTTTAATTATTAATAATATTAGTAGTCCTTTATCTGCACAGGGGTAGCATGATATGAAAATTAGCTACACAATGGGAATTGTGAACAAAGGTAAAGAAAAATTGTGCCAAACAATTTTGGCATTATGGCAAAAGGCAAGTTAGCCACTAGGCTATAAGGTTGTATTCAGTTGCTTTTGTGTAGACTATATTACAGAAAAGGAAGACAAAAAGTTTAGAAGTTGATGCTGATAAAAGTATTTTGAAAGCCACTGCAGTGTCTAGACTACACTAAACACTTTCTCTCTGAGTTGTGTTATGTTTAGTGTGGTTGAACTTAGGTAATCTTTTTTCTGTTACTCAGTTTTGAAAGACATCTCAACAGACAGAACACTGGACAATCGGTAAGAACATTTCATTTAATATCCTTTCAATTTTTATTCAGTATAGTCACCATTTGGGATTAATAATTGTCTTTTGTTCACAAATTTTAAATCAGTGTCCCACTTATGGCAACCTTATTGACCTCAACTCTGCCTCTAAATCGCACAACCAATCAAAGCAATCAACCCCTATTCATAAGCCCATCAGCCACACAGTCGGCTCACTGTCCAGTCAGATGGCTGGCCTAAGTAAGTATTGATATTTTGCTTTGATGTCTGAAATCTCATCTCATGCTTGTGTATTTTACATGACAGTTGTAAATGTTTTTTTATTATTTTTTTTCAGGCACAAAAGTAGAAGGCCATGCACAGAAACAACACCACTCTTCAGCACGGCTCCAAAACAGGTAGATTACCCGGTTACTTTTCTGTGTATGCACATGCAGTTTGAATGCAAACGTTTGTGCTAAATTACATATTTTGTTTATGTCTGAAGTGTAAAGAATTAAAACAGGATTCTGTAAATATTAACGAACAGTTACTTTATATTTGATTTACTTAAAAATAGGGGAAAAACACCCCCGTTGGCAGATATCACAGCTTGCAAACCCTTTTTATAACCAGCTAGGAGTCTTTCTGTTCTCGTTTGAGGAATTTTTACCCACTCTTCCTTTCGGAACACTTCTAGTTTTACAATATTTTTGAGCTGTCTGTTACGCACAGCATGTTTTAAGATCTGCTCACAGGTTTTGGGGCAATGATGTTCAAGTTAAGAGACTGAAGAAGTTTGTGGTGGATCATCCAGCTCTTCCACAGTTCCCTTTAACTTCCATTTCTTGATGACAGTTTGGACAGCAGAATTTGTGATATCTTTTTATAGCGGTCCCTTTCCTTTTAGGCATCACTTCGCTTTATTTTCAGATCCTCAGCCAGTTGCTTGCCCATGGTTGCTTAGTGTTAGAATGAAGTTTAAAGATTTAAATAATTTATTATTCTGGAATTTGCATCTGCTGACAGTTCCTACTGACAATTTCTGACCTGCCTAACCAGTCCTAAGAAGTCAATTAAGGCCTAACGAGGTAACTTAGGTATAAGACTTTACAGCGGAAAGAGTGTGCAAACTTTTCCACATGCCACAATTACTTCACAATTTCATCTGTGTTTTTTATCATTTATGTTAATCAAATATAAAATAAATTGCATTATTATTTTCCAAAACTGCTGCAGACATTGTGTTTACTTCTTTTCACTTAAATGAAATCAACAAAATATGTAATTTGGTCAGGAGTGCCCTGGACACCGTATACATGTCCAGTGAGAAGCAAAAATATTGTCAGAATCAGGTGATTCTGATTGCTTAGGTGTTCAGTGTTCCCTTAATTGTAAACACATAAAAGGATTGTGAATGAATCGGTTTTAGCCAGTCTGGATTAGCAGACTTGTTTTGGTGTTTAATGTACAAAACGAGATGAAAACTGAAGAATTTACTACGATCAAAAAACAGGCAATTTTGAACATAAATACATCAAAGGCCAGAACCATAACAGAAACATGCAGAACAACTGGGCATTCCAGAAACAACAGTATGTTCCAACAAACAGGCTATCCCAGGAAGACATCAGCAGCTGATGACAGGAACATTGTTAACACTGTGAAGAAAAGCCCAAAAATAATGTTGAAAGAAATTAAAGACAATCTCCAGAGCATACGGTTGAAAGTATCAGTATTTACCATTTGCAAGAGGCTTAAAGAGAAGGAATACAGAAGCTGCACTATAAGACGCAAACCTCTCATCAGCACCAAGAACTGAAGGGCCAGGATAGAATTCTTCAAGAACTACAAAGATGAGCCAGAAAGTTTCTGAAGCAAAGTTTTCTGGACAAATGAGGTAAAGAGTAATCTTATCAAAGTGATTGGAAGGGAAAAGTGTGGAGAAAGAGAGAAACTCCAAATAATCCTAAACACGCCACTGCATGTGAAGCAAGGAGGAGGCAGTGTCTTGGCTTGGGCATGCATGGCTGCTTCTGGAACTGGTTCACTGGTCTTCAGTGATGTCAGTGGTGATGTTAGCAACAGAATGAATTCTGAGACGTAAATAAACATCGCAAACACATTGCCCAGACCTTCTCTGCTGTAGTCTCATATTAGCTTGAACTGATGGACGATAGTATCGGGAATTGCTTATAGATTAAATCTATCCTGATGGCTATCAAGTTGGATGATTTAAATGCTATTAAAAGCATTGTCTGCAGCCTTAAGATGCACAAAAGCAAAAGTGTGAGTCTCGTAATCTGTGTTTTCTTTTAATGTGTCCATGTCCTATATCAGTCCTGATACATCGTCTGGCGTTAGATTATTCTATAGTAGAACAACACAGCACTTTTTTTTACTGTGGTCATGCTTGTTATTGAGATAAAGCTGTGCTTTCCACGCACTGACCATCTTTCCTCAGGAAACATGAACACTGGCATAACCGACTGACATTATGGTTCCATCAATGTTGTTTAAATCTAAAAAAAAATAATATATCCCAGGCTAACAACAACAGTACACCACAGTAACAGTAGCATGCAGGCTAACTTAACACAGTAAACTTTGGCCATTTCATTATTTTAACAAGAAGCAACCTGTAGGCTGTAAGAGTATGATTATACCAAACCATACCTAAAATAGTTTAGCAGGATTGCATGTTTCTGATAAAAAACATAAGCATGTTTATTCTTTTTGGCTTGAGCAGGTTTGTCTGTGGTTTGTTACTACATTATTTGCCTTGCTGAAACAGGTTACTGGAGGCCCTGGGAATCTCAGCTTGCCTCTCAGACAGTATTTGATGCTCTCCGCGGTGGCTAGGGGGCACAGCTGGATGATGGTTTATTGTATACAATCTCACTAGCATGGTCTCATGCTCATGATTTTATGAAAATGTAATAAAAATAACCCATTTCACCTAAATAGCTTGGTTTCCTTTTGAACATTTATTCATTAGTTCTCTGTAGAAAGACTTGAGAGTCCTTTATCGCCTGTGCACGGCTTTAGTCACAACAGTTCAGAGATACCAGGTAGAGTGGCCTGTGGCTAATTTAATAAGGGCTGAAATCGCTTCATCTACAAACCCCAATAATGCAAACAGGTCTGACAGGATGAATTTCCAAACGTTACTTTTGTTCACCATACATCTACACTTATTCAGAAAATCTGTTTCCAACATAGTTTTTTGCATTTTACTTTTATCAATAAACTTTTACACTCATCCATGCCTAAAAACTTTTTGTGACATTTTATTGTATTTTTTCATCCAGGTTTTTAATGCACATTTTCTAAATTTGCAAAAACAAAAATCTAGGAAAACCCACAATTCTCCCAATATATATTTGTGCTCCTCCAGTGTGTGTTGGAGTAAGGATATTAACCCCTTAAAGGGCCAGGGGCTACCAGCAGGCCCAAAGTTTTAATACCCAATTCTATAACCTAAGAGTAGCTAAACCTGTTTAAAGTCCCTGTAGTTACTGAATAATAAGCCTTAGTATGTAATAAGCCTGGTTCTAAGGAACCATTTGGAAGAAAAAAAATCAAGCATTTAACTTGAAGGACAAAAATGGCAGAGAAGTTGAAAAAATGGGCAGGGAAGGTGAAATATGGCAGGGGAGTTATGTGAAATAATGTGATTAGACATAAAATGTATGAATAATCAAATCCTTGTGTATATTTGTATATTTCAGGGACAGTGAGGAGAATTCTACAGTACTGGACGAACTAGCTGCAGGACAAACTCGATTGCATAATGCTGGAGTGGTGAGTAGTGCTAAATTATTAACTGCTAAAGAAAGGATTGTGTTTGAAAAAGACCTTACTAATATTAAACATCCTGTGTCTTGTACTGCTAGTGCTTTTTTTTTTTTTACTTTTTTTTTACGTTGTAAACCCTTTAACATCTATGTGCTTTCTGCTGTCTGAATGCATATATAAGTTGTAGTTGTTCAAGCCATGTAGAATCCTTTAGTGTAGATAAGCATGTGCATGCTTACCTGTGCCTAATAGTGCTTTTGCATGTTAGTCATTGAAAATGTCTGTCTGTGTGAAGGATAACAGCCCAGACTCCATCCCTCTCGGCACCTCCCCTCAATTTTATTGGATGGTGGAAAAGGGCATGGTGGGTCTTATTGGATGGTGAGGTAGTCAGAATTATGGTGTGCCTTTGTACTGGCTGAGTTTGCATGCCTGCTGCTCCAGGGTTGTTATTCATCTATTATTTTTCTGTCATCGTTTCAGTCGTGTTATGAATTTGTTTTAGGGATGCACCAATACGGGACTTCGGGCCATTAATAACAACCATGAATTAACACCTTCTTGTGGAAGATACTGATATCACTAACCATAACCATATATAACCATAATTTACTGTTTTTGCTTTTAAAACAAGTTCACCGTATCATCCATATATGAAGTGTAGTTCAATGAGCATAATAGGATGCCTAATTATCAGTTGTAATTATTAGCAGTAATTTGAGTATTAGATTGATAATTATAATTACATTTTCCCATTCATCCTGTTGGCCATTGTTATAGTATTGTGCAGAACTCAGAGACCACCCTTCAATTTTTTTATTATTTACAGTCAAAACAGCCATTAAGTACAAGTTATTCATATTTTCTGAGGAGATATAAGATCATCTATTTGCATAAGAAAAGGGAAAATGAGTTGGAAAACAGAAGTTTCCAAAAATTCAAACACTTACTAAAACAGTTTCTTAAAACAATTACTAAAAGATATGGACAAAATGAGACCCCTAACAACTATGCATCCAACAATCATGCAAGACCTGGCATGACTACCAAAACTGTCTATAGGAGAAGATCAAGCTCCATTCTTTTTTCAGATCAGAAGAAATCCACAGGTGTTTCTGTCCATCCTTCCACTCTGAAAAGACAACTCAACACTATGAGTCTGACAGGATGTGTAGCATTCAACAAAGAAGAAAACTTTCAAATCAAACAAAGGAGTTGCTGGTGTTCTCAGAGCAATGGACTGACCACCCCAAAACGCAACCAACTTCTAAGGCTGAACTTGGGAGGTGTGGAGAAATATCCTCGCAAATTTCGTAAAAAAATTGAAAGCAAGTTTGAAAGCAAGAATGGAAGCTACAATAAAGCACAGGATGGATAGACAAAATAGTAAAAAAAATGAAATGAAATGAAATTTAGCTGTTGAGGCTTTCAGGTAATTTTCTCTTAAATATATATATATATATATATATATAAATATATATATATATATATATATATATATATATATATATATATGTATATTGTTCTTTCCTGGTGCTGGTGCAGAAAAATGAATAAGTCATGAAAATTGACTGGAAATAAAATAAACGGAGGGTGGTCTCTGAATTTGTGCAGTACTGTGTATCATGCACCCCTAATTTGTTTCATTGAAAAATGCAAAGTGGCGCTGGATAACAGTGCATTTGACTGCTGTGCTGTGAGTGGTGAAGGTAGCAGGTGGTGTTTTTTTTCATGAATTACTCTTGCATCTGCATCTGAACTGATCACATACTAGCTTTTTCCTGTTTTTGATTGGGATTTCATTTCTGCCTGTACCAAAAAAACTGCTGTATTGTCCTATGTTAGAATGGAATGGATCAAAAGAACATTCTTGGTGTCTTCTTCTTTTCAGGGCCTTATGTAATAATCCTGAGGCTGGTGGGTGCTTAATTGTCCCCAGTCAACAATGGTAGTCTTAATTATTTGTCTTCATTCCTCAGATTCCTGTCGATCAGAGTGGTGTGATGGATGACATTGAACGATGGCTTGATGTGGATGATGTGAGTGTTAATTACTGTTTTATTCCTTCATAATTATACACACTTAAATTGTTTTCTGAGATTTTATGATGTTTAAAGCAGATGAGCTGGAGCTTTGTAACAATATCAGGACTGAAAGTGAACTCATCAACGCTGTTGACACACATGATCTACTTTGAAACTACATGAAACAGCTTAGAAATGTGTATTGAATATTTTGTGATGAATAGGTATAACTTTCACAACAGGAAAAACATCTACAGTTTTTAAATTTCAGTATTCAGATTTGTGCATTTTTTAAATGAATGGGTTGATTAGCTGATTCTTGTTAGAGTAGGTTTCTATATCTTGCTGGATCTCACCTTTACAGAACTACAGAATTATAGACATATTCTATCCATTAATCGTTGTTGAGCCTATAAAAACAGTTTGGGCTGTACTTAAATAACCAAGAACCTTAACAGTTTGTATCATGATGGACTTTTCACAGTGTCTAAGGAATTGCTAGTAGAGTATCTGTCTGTATTTGTAATAACACACTTTTATAATTTTTTAATAACACTGGTTATTACAAAGCTTGAGCAAGCATTTAAAATCATAGTTTTGCAAAAAAAAAAATCTAATTTAGACAAGTTCTTTATATGGCCAAAAGTATGTGGACGCCTGACCATCACACCTATGTGGACTTGTTGGACATCCCATTACAAAACCATGGGCATTAATATGTAGTTGGCCCCCCTTTGCGACTGAAACAGCCTCCACTCTTCTGGAAAGGCTTAGCACAAAATTTTTGAGTGCGTCTGTGGGAATTTGAGCCCGTTCTGACAAAAGACCATTTGTGAGGTCAGGCACTGATGTTGGACGAGAAGGCCTGGCTTGCAGTCAACTTTCCAAAGGTTTCATCCCAAAGGTGTTCAATGGGGTTGAGGTCAGGGCTCTGTGCAGGCTACTGAAGTTCCTCCACATCAAACTCATCAAACCATGTCTTTATGGACTTTGTGCACAGTCATGCTGGAACAGGAAAGGGCCTTCTCCAAACTTTTACCACAGAGTCAGAAGCAGATAGTTAGACTATAAGTAGAAGCATATAGTATATGAGTCTATAAGTCTAAGATGTCTTTGTTTGCTGTTGCGTTAACATTACCCTTCAGTGGAACTAAAGGGCCCAAACCCTCAAAAATAGCCCCGGAACATTATACCTCTGCTTTACTGTCCGCATCTGCCAAATTCAGATTCATCCATCAGACTGCCATAGTAAAGTGTGATTCATCACTCCAAAGAGTATGTGAGAGGTGCGGAACGGGAACGGAGTGGGGAGTGGTGCGGCAGAATTTTTCCCATAGCGTATAACGGCGTGTAACAGAAAGTTAGAATGTCCGTGTATTCTCTCAATCTGAAATAACTCGATACCATTCCATCACACAAATCAGTGTTTTTTTCTACTTTAGGCAAGGAGCATGAAATCAAAAACCTGAAGCGGAGTGATTACATAATGCTTTAGCAGAATGTAACCTAAGCGGAGATGTTTGCTGCGCCACTCCACTCACATGCTCTGCTCTAGAGAACACATTTATGCTGCACCAAAATCCAAGGGAGACGTGCTTTACACCACTCCAGTTGACGCTTAGCATTACGCATAGTGTGTGCAGATTCTCTGCAGTTTTTGTGCTGAAAAAAAGAGGCAGTTTGGAACTCTGTAGTGAGTAATGCAACAGAGCAATTTTTACATGGTACACACTTCAGCACCTGACAGCCTCGCTCTGTGAGTTTGCATGGTTTACCGCTTCATGTCGGAGCTGTTGCTGCTCCTATAGATGCTTTTATTTCACAATAATAACACTTACAGTTGACCAGGTCAGGTCTAGCAGGGCACAAAGTTCACAAACTGACATTCTGTGGCAGTCCCATAAGTCAATGAGCTCTTCAGTAAGACCTATTCTACTACCAGTGTTTGTCTATGGAGATTTCACAACTATGTGCTTGATTTATACACCTGTTAACAATGAGTGTGTCTGAGTCACTTCAATAATTAGGATGGGTGGCCACATACTATTGGCTATATAGTGTATATTGCTAAACCCTTGAACCCTGAAATTTGTCTGTACGTTTGTCCCTTTTTTATAGAGAACAGTGTCATACAGCGTCTGAAACCCCATAAGCATTCTTTTCTATTACTTAACAATTGGACTTGTTTGGAAGCAAGTGTTTGGTGACTTGGGCATGCAGTTTGCACAATGCTAATTGGTGGAGTATAAGCATCCTTACTTGTCAGCTACATTAGCCTCATTGCTCCAGTGCAAAACTAGAGACACAAACTTTGACTAATATATACAAAATTTGGGTAAAATGGGCTAAATTAGGTTTTTGTCAGAGCTACATCTTTAATTAGTCACAGTTTTGACATACATCTGGATGTAAAATTTTCACTTAGAAAATCAACAAAACATGTAATTTAACTATGGGTGTCTTAAGTTTTTGCATACAACTATCACCCTTAAAATCTACTTTAACTGTTTTTGACTTGTTTCATCACAGTATCTTTGGTATGCCATGGTGTTTGCCAACAGGAAATGAGGAGGAGCCTTCATATTCTGACTTGGGATCAGGCCTTAGATGTGTTTTCAGATTACACTGATGTCCTTTTGCTTTTGGGAGGTTTAGAGTGTGTAAGTTGGAACAACAGGAACTTTCTCATTTTGTGCTTGTTTTTGTGGTGCAGGATGATGACTTGGCAGACTCTGAGGGAGTGACCAGTGAAGGTATCAGTCAGTCAGTTTCTAACATGCATTCACTCCTAAAATATATTGCATTTAAATTAGAGGATCCAAAGGACACAAAAAACAACCAGTGTTAGGTGCCAGTGGTATTAGATACATAACATTATGAAGATATGTTATCGTTGTAAGTAAATACATTGATAAGTGATACATTACACCTCACTATGAGTGTACTGTGGGTGTTGTCAGTACTTGTAGAACAATGAACACCTGCTTGTATCATAAAAAAATTTAGATTATAGAAAAAAAACACCGTATGGTAACCACATAAGCTGCATAGTTGCAGTTTGTTCACTGTTAGCACAAAATACAATTCTTATTTATTAATTTATTGTTTTTATTATAAAGCTCAAAAACCCAGTTATCATATTGTGTATCATGGAAATGTGTTTGTACATTATGTTAAATGTTTGCCACATCGCCCACCCTGATTATAAACTGGCTAGAGGCTTACTAGCGATCTCATTTTACATAATTACAGGCAGCAATCTCAAATATTTGGGGCTGGTCCAAATAACATTTTAAAAGCTTTAAATACTCCCTGGTCCAAACAAGTACCCAATATTCGCTTTTTCAACATCACTCTTAAAAAGAATTACATGGTTACATTATTAACCATAATTTTAGGTATGTTCCTTGCTGCAGCTCAACAGATATCCAGTAGGTAGAAATGATGCATTAGCCCAACTGCTTGCATGCCGAAAGTTGCTGTAAAAGCCGTGATTGTAGCCCCCTCGTTCCATTACAGCTTTTTTGAGTCACATAGATGCTGCATCAAGTTTTTTGGTCATTTTAGTTAGTTTCTTTTATTTGTTTTGTCAAGTTATTTTGTTTGGCTAGTTCACCGTTTTGTATCATGGAAAGCAGTAGTGAGGGAGACATGCAGGCCAAATTGAGCTCAGTCAAAGTAGAGCTACAGATAGTGAAGGACTGAGGAGCTGTTGGAGCTAGAAAGAACCGCTCTGGCACCGGCGACAGAAGGGCCAATGTTCTCCTCATCCACTGCCAGAATTCACCACAGCAAACACTTCTGAGGCCCTGAGCTTCCCGTTTTTAGCATTGTCCTCAACAGAGACTAGTGCATTAGTCACCAGTGCACCACCTGGTCCTAGAGATCTACTTTCCTGCAGAGTTTAGTTCCAACATGCATCTAACCTGCCCCACACCTCCCCTTACCTAACACTAATGATCCAGCCAATCAAGGATTTCTGAAGAAGTTAAATAGCTGGAGCAGGTATGACAGGTTGTGACTCTAGACTCTGCAGGAAGGTAAATCTCCAGGACCAGGGTTGGTGACTACTGGACTAATGGTACTCAGATAAGTATCACTGTATCACATAGCTGAGATAATTTAGCAAACTTGTCATGTTAATGATAATTTGTTATCCCACAATAATAAACAGTGTTTCCACACAGGTGATTTCCCAGGCATCTTTGGTCTTTTAGTTTCAGTAGTTAGGTGGAAAGCTTTGCACTTTGAGGAGAAGTTTCATTGTTGTCTAAATTAAACCAGCTATAATTTGTTTAACATTTTCCATCTTGAAACAATCATGTCCATTTTAAAGGCATTTCCTGATGAAATATGTTGCAGATCAGGTGACATTTTCAATTTTTGTGGCTTGAAAAAAGACAAAGCTTCCAAATACTAAATATAGAATTTAATACCAGCATAGCAAACAAATACTTGAGTAATCGTATTATTTGGGCCAGCCCTAAAATTTTTGCACAAGTTAGAGTTTAGAAAAAAAATTCTGTAATCATGACTGTTGTAGATCATCACAAACCAAAACTTTCTCACTCTCTTTGGGTCTCCTGCAGAGTTTGATCGATTTTTGGCAGAGAGAGCAAAAGCAGCCGAGCGTCTTCCCTCCGTGAAAGCATCGTCTCGTGACCACCTGCCGTCAAAACCACAGTGATTACAAGAACATGGTCACCTACAACTAACACATTCCCCAGCAAGGATCATCATTAGCACAAAAGTAGATGATGAAGAAGAATGTTTTTTTTTTAATGTTTATGAGTTAATGCAATGGCTATAATTATATCATAAAATTGCGTAACAGAGAAGAAGTGCTGCATAACATGAATTTTAAATGTACTAATCTTGATTTTAGGGCTCTGGCACTGATGTTGTGCCATTCTCTGGTTTACCAGGCTGTTATATATCTTTTGTATCAAGTACTTTTTTGAAACTATTTTAGTATGAACTGGTTACTGGTTCTTGTGGCACACAAGATTCACTTTTAAGACAGATTAAAAGATTCTTCTCTAACGTTCTAACATACAGTGGCTATCAACAGTGAAGGATAACATTTTTGGTTTGCATAGAAGAGAGAATTTCTCAGTTGGTTTCTCTATATTCAAGTCCCAGTCACAAATCGCTGGGTCATTTTTATTTAATACTACAGCAACTATAATATTTTGAAAATATAACAGTGACATCTACAATATATTCATTTTACCATAGTCTCTGTTTCAAGATTGGAGATGCCTGGGAGGACTTTTTGCAGATCAAGGGGAGACTGTGAACAGAGAGATTTCAGAGTGTATACATTCTTCACAAGCAGTGCAGCAAAAGCAGGATGTGCATAGATGGGATAAATACTAGACATGCCAATCTAAACTGATCAAATGGAATCTAAGGCAGGCACAGTCTAGTTGATAGTAAATGTCAGCTTATTTTTGCATATAAGTTATTTTTTGAAGACCCTTTATCATTTAGTAGTTCATTTTCCCTATTTGTGGGCCAAACTCAGTTGGGCACCTCAGAGATGAAGGTTCAACTGTGGTGAGTGGTTATACTTTTTGTAAAGAAAAAAAAACAGGAATTCAGTGGTTGGGCTTTATTTTTTAATGCTATAAAATATTACAATAACAAGTTATAGTACTTTAATAAAATGTCTGAACATCTCAGCACTGTGTCTTTCTGTAAAGTACCAGCATCAACCAGGTTTATATTAAAGAGGTCAGCTTACAATGTGAGTTAATGATACCAAAATAGTCAGAATTCATTTTACACTATACCATTTTTCAACCTTTCTTATGTGAAGTACTTTAGAAATAGCTCACTTATTTCTGAGTAAAACACGGAATCAAGGAGGGTTTTGCTTGGTGATAGGCATTTTGCTTGGTGATAGATGGTGCAAGGGGGATGTGAAACACAGTATTATTGATTAACATTATCTTTCCTTGCCTGCTGGTGCACATTGTTGTAATAAAAAATTAGAAGACATTTTTGAGGCAGGAAAATTCTGTCATTATGTGAAAACAAGAATGCTGATTACAGGAAAACAAGAACACTGAGTATTAAATGACAAGATATGATGAATCACGCGACCAGGGACACAAGCTAACAAGGTGAAAAGGGAAAATTTTGATTTCATGTTAACTTTAAAAAGGCTGTTTTTGTTACTTTGCCTTTAAGGCTTACACATAGAAATTATCTCTGTTCTAAATAGCTGCCCTTTATTGTGCCACATTCAAAAAGCAGTCTGAGCTGAAACACACCTTAAATGGGAATTCTACAAATTTTTCAAAATTTCTGCATATTTCAGTGGTTGCAATGTAGACATGGTTGTTTGATGTGAAATGGGCCCAGTTCATTGTAGAATTGTTCTAGGATATCGTCCCCAGAATCTTTTTTCAAATTAACCTATGCAGTGGCTACATTTTTATTTAAACAACAAAACATGCAGTTATTTAACAGTGTTACTTGGCGTGTCCCATAAACAAAATCATAAAAAAAGAGTGAAAACACTAACATTTTTTTTTTTTTAAAACATGTAAAAAACAGTTTCCCTCAAAATTCACCCATTCTTAAACTTCTTTCTGCATTCTCTCTCTCCCTCTTCACCTCAACCATTTCTTCTCCACATTTCCTGCCAACACATAAATTATTTATCTACAGTTTTTATATATTTTAAAAGCTAAATAGTCATTCAGTAAAACTCTTCACTAAAACCAAACCAAGAAACCTGACCCAAGCCTGACAGTCCCTACAAAATATCAGGTAAACATTTTTTCACTCACAACATCAGGCTCGCGTTGGTTTTCAAAAGGGTGAAATGTGACATGTTAACCTTATAAGGTTTGGGGCTGGTTAAAAAATATCTGGGGCTATAGCACCAGTAACTCCCCTTCCACCTACTAATAAAAACTACTCTTGAAGCGCAACAGAACAGGGGAGACCTGGAGTCAGACCATGGGACAAGTCTGACAGTGACAGGACAAGGGGCTGGTGTTGTATGTGTGGAAGAGGGACAGATAATAGGACTACACAGAACCAGCACAGGAGAGGCAGCCCGGGGAGCCAGAACAGGGCAGGGCGCCGACACAGGAGCTGTACTGGGGACCAGCACTGGAGCAACTCAGACGGCCTACTTTGGAGGAGCCACTCGGCGGGTCAGCACTGGAGGAGATACTTGAGAGACCGGCACTGGAGCAGCACAAAGGGCAAGCACAGGAGTTCACTGGTGCTATCTGGAGAACTGGGCGGCACTGTAGGTGCAGGAGCACTCTGAGGAGCTATTACCCAAGGAACTGACCTAGGAGTCAGGAGGAGAGACCTTGGAAGCTGGAGCACTATCTTTGAAAAATCAGTGGAATTCCCCATTAAAGTTGACCTGTTTACCTCATTTAAAAGACAGTCAACTTTCAAAAGGGAAAGACATTTGACTTTTTTCTGATTTTTGATTACATCATTGTGCACAAGCACCCACCACCACCAGCTATTATTAAGAGAAAGCTCTGAGCCAGCTCAGAGACCCTTTCTGATACCACACATCATGGTGAAAGGGGAATGCATTATAATTTCCATTTACATTGACTTTAGGACCCTGATTGGACAAGTAGAACCAAAATAATGTCCACCAGGGGGCACTAACATTACATTTTATTGAGAGACATACAGAGTTTCAGATCAATATTGTTTTACTGATAAACAATTAGTTTAGTTTTCCATTTAGAGTGGATCTAGAGCAGGCCACACACATATCATCTTCAGATCAAGTAACCTAGGAAAATAATGTTAGCATTGGTAAAAGCAGACTGCATTAAATTCTTTTACACACAGTAAATGTGTTTTTTTTTACCTTTTAAATGTATCTTTAAAGAGATCAAGTCCTATAAGAAAGTGCATGTTACAGATTGTAGAATCAAAAATGCCCTTTGACATCAATGTGGAATAATCAGTGTAAATGTGCATGGTGTGGTAGAAGGTGTTTTTCTGAAAGATGCAGTAATTATACCATTAGCTTAAGCACAAAGATTCTGGTTGTAAGCTAAGGCAATGCTTGCAGGCAATAAAAGATTGTTGAAACTTGGAAATGATGTACACATTAGAATCAAAGTGTACATCTTTTTTCTATTTGTTATTTGTTTAAAAACAGCACTAGCCATTTGCTTCGATGAATGAAAGGTATAGCACACAGCTGTCACATTTCAAACCATCAATCATGTGGGGTGCCTGTGAACTCAAACCTTCAGCTGTGCTTCAGGTTTTTGTGCCAGCAGTATATTTGTCAGGACAGGATTCTCTCAGGCTGCTGTTGGCAAATGTCCTTCAGATTTAGAACAGCACCCTCATGGTCATAGTTCTTTATCATATTCTCAACATAAAATAAACAATACTAAACTAAAGCACTGTTTCAAAGTTCAGAACACTCTGGACCTAAACATATTTTCTATGGCAGGCTTTAGAAGATCTAAAATATGATAGTTCAGTTTACTTATTTTATTTAGTTGGATAATTATCTTAAAGACACAGAATTATTTACTGGCATTTCACCGGCTAGCCAGCATTAGCATTACATGGTAGCTATAACGATCAATTAGACAAGATTTTTAACCATTTTGCATGTGAATAATAATAATAATAATAATAATAATAATAATAATAATAATAATAGTAATAATAATAATAATAATAATAATAATCTAATTTGACTTTTGTTCCAGTTGGCTGCTATTATATTTCTCCTAATTGTGCATAGGTTTATCCTGTACAAGCTAAACTCATGCATAGATGTGGTTTAGCTTTACAGTAAATGGGCATTTTTCTTAAAGGGAAATTCCACAGATATATCACAGTGTCTGCTTATAGAGAGACCTTCAGATTTCTTTACAGTGGTGGTGATAGGAACCAGGGGTCCCTATGTCTACAACACAAGCCACTTTATTTACTATCCAAAGCTGCAATGAACCTACACGTCTTCTTTGCTTTTATATTTAATGTTAATGATGGTAAAATACTGGTAAAGGTGGAAAATAAAAATTATCTGGGGACTATTTTGCCTCAACCCTTAATGTACCCCTCCACCATAAATAGATTAAAAATAAATATGATTAAGATACATTTTAGGCCAAATATTTATCACAAAACTACTGCAAAATGACTTAGAGACCAGGCTGAGTACTTATAACCATTCATGTAACTAATAACTTTCTGTGAGGGAGCTTTTAGAAGCATTAAACACTTCAGACGTCTGGTTCCTTCCACTACCACTGCGAACAATTCTGACTTGCTAAGCTTCTCCAGAACAAAGCATTTTACACTAATCCACTCTAAATGACTTTGTTTACATCTTAACCATTTAATTAAGCAGATTTTTTTAAAATCGGCGTGGTTCCCCTTTAAGCGGGTATTTACCCCATTTTACAAATAATTATTGCGAATAAAATAAATAAAACGCCATTTTTTCAGTTACTTTATGAATGGTTTAATATATTTCAGATGCTAATTACTGTGCTTTCACAACGCTCTGGTGGTATAATTTCAACAACTAGAAAATCCGCGACAGAGATAAAAGCAGCGTTCGACAAATGGTGGGTAAAGGTGGATCGGAAGGGTGTGTTTTATTACAGTGGTGACTCGTGTTAGATGAAAACTGGCCTGCTGCTGAACCTTATCATCAAAATAGCTTACAATAACAGAAAGGAGGAGGCTAGGCTAACCGGTCCATAGAAACTAGGAACCCAATACATCGTCCTCTGTTGTCACACTCAAAACTGACCCCCTTAATGGGAAGAGTGCTTCCTGCCGATAGGGGACTTCGCTAGTCGGCGAAGCTTTTAAATAATTAGCTGTTGGAAGTGTATTTATGAAGTTGTTATTTTGTGGTGGGTTGGCCAGTTAACAGAGTTAAGATAGTCTAAAGTATTTCATAGAGTCTTTAAGGGTTTAATATCATTATTATAATTATAATCGCTACAACAACACGCAACAATTTCATGAAGGCGAGCAGCTACGGTCCCGGCTGGTTGGGATAGCAAGTTCTTGGCAGAAGGCAGTTTATACGGCCTGTTCGTATGAAAGTTAACTGCTAACTAACCTAGGTTAGCTGAATTATGTCAACGTCGTCTTTGGACAAAGAACTGCAAGAGCGGTTAAGAGAGGCAAGTGCCATCGGAGACATTGACGAAGTCCGGACTCTAGTCGAGAGCGGAGTCAACATCAACTCTCAAAACGAAATCAACGGATGGTACGTTGGCGAAAATGGCTACGAGTTGCTCATGGAATGCTTGTTTTAAGTTACTTTGCTGATTTGACAGCTGCTGCTAACTTAGATACGCCTTTACCCTTTTTACACATGAAATCTAATAAATCTCAGCTCCACCCGAGGACTAGCAGGCTAGCTTGCTGGCTAGCTGGAAGCTGTACTCCTGAGTCCTGGCTGTGGTGGCATGCGTGCTGAAAGCTAGCAATAGATACAGTTATGGGTTATCCAGTGAAGCAGCTTGCCAGGTTTTACTTAATTCTGTATTATATAACGAAATAGTGAAAAGACCTTTCGGTGGTTTGCTAAGAGTTTGTTGTGTAAGTGTTGCCGGACGTTTGCCCGGTTTCTTGTTGCGTGTGAACGTAAACAAAAGAAGATTAAGTCCATGAGCATCTATTTTAAGACTTCTATTACAAAGCCTTGCTTAATTGTTTAAAGGGGCAGTCCAGGCAAAGTGAAAAATTTTACCATGTTATATCTGTTGCAAACATGTCCAGTCTCCTCCTACGGTGGAGCCACGATAGATTAGGGTGAGATTTTCTGCTTGTAAACTTTAGGAACCGGGAGGAGGGAGGATTTTCTGAAAATCTCCAAACACTTTGAGGTTAATGCCTGAGGGTGGGCTGTTTAAAGTTTTTTTTCTTCTTCTTCTGCTTCTATTTTTAATAACACTGTCATGTAACATTAAGTAATTTACTGTCACTTTACTTAAACAGGACGTGTTTGCACTGGGCATGCAAAAGAAACCACAAACACATAGTGGCATACCTTTTGAATTCTGGAGCTGACAAGGAAATCCTCACTGCAAAAGATGAGTTAGCTGTTCAGTTAACCTCCAAACCTGAAATCAGAAGACTGCTAGGAGGTATGTATGTAGTTGAAAGCATCTGCCTTTTGAATTTTCCTTATTACAGTTGTAAAGGTTTTTTTTGGTAGCCATAGTTTACTAGTGTTTATGTCTCTACAGTGGAGGAGGAGGATGTGCCTGAGGTGAAGGAACCAGAGCTGCCAATCATTCCAAACTATCTATCCAACCCACCTTTTTTGTATGGCAAGATGGATAAGGATGAGTTGAATCTAGCACGACATGTTTCTCAGAATGGCACCAGTGACCATTCGGAGTCTGTAGACTCTGAGCCAGCCACCCTGTCTCCGACACAAGAGCAGCAGCAACCTCCACAGCAACAGCAGCTGCCACAGAGCCTATATGTAGACAACCAGAGCCAGCAAGCAGTGTCCTACATTTCTGTGGTGGAGCAGAATGGCATTGTGCCAAGCCCGGTGGTTAACAGGCCCTTGTCCATGGAGACGTCCCCCGAGGCCCACCACGGCAACCATAGTGAATTTACCCACAATCACACCATTGCCCAGAATGGCCCCGTGTGCCCCCCGCTACCCTCACCAGGTGCAGGCACAAACCAGGCGTCCGTCTCCAACCCCACCGTTACCCGACAGCAGTCTCTGCCCCAGCAGCTAAACTGCTCGCAGCCTGGAGGCTCTATGCCTGCCTTCCAGCCCTTCTTTTTCACCAGCACCTTCCCCGTCAATGTGCAGGGTATGTGAAATGGAAATCTGTTTGAAAAACCGTGCACCAGAAGACTTCTTGCAAGGTCCTTGCAGTACCAGTGAAACTACTGTGGCATTTAGATACTGGGTAACTGCTCTTGTTCTAATTTTCTGATAAATAATAAGATTCCATTTGTGCTCTCTCTCTCTCTCTCTCTCTCTCGCTCTCTCTCTCTCTCTCTCTCGCTCTCTCTCTCTCTCTCTCTCTCTCTCAGAGCTGGTCCTGAAAGTGCGGATCCAGAATCCTCATGCCAGAGAAAATGATTTCATTGAAGTGGAGCTAGACCGGCAGGAGTTGACATACCGGGCACTGCTGCGTGTCTGTTGCCGTGAGCTGGACATCAGTGCCGAACATGTGGAGAAGATTCGCAAGCTTCCGAACACCATGCTCAGAAAGGTATGTGTATATTTGTTTAGTTTTTTCCCTGTAACTCAGCTAATTGTAAATACAGTTTTACTGCATTTACTAAAACAGTTGGGACAAGACATAAAACACAAATAAAAACTGCAATGAATTGTAATGCCATTTTGTTCTTTAATTAAACAAAAACAGTACAAAGACAAGATATTTGGTAATTTACCTCATAAACTTCATTGTTTTTTGTGAATGTGCTCATTCTGAATTTGATGTTTGGAACACATCCTAAAAATGTTGAGGCAGCAGAAAATATTCAAATTTAAAAAAAATGTGATGTGGTCATATTTGGCTATAACAGAAACATCCAGCTAAAACCTAGTGTTTTATGAGCAAGGAGGGGTTGAGGTTTGCCGCTTTGCAAAAAATGTGTCCGTGAATAATCCAGCAGTTTAAGAACAGTGTTTCTCGATGAGCAATTGCAAGGATTTCATGTATTTTGCGCTCACGGTGCAAAATATCATCAGAAGATCAGGGAATCCAGAGTAATCTTTATGCAAAGGTCAAGGCTGAAAACTACAAGGCTGAAAACACTTCTCTGTCTGACAGTCTGATGGACGAGTCTGGATTTGGCGAATGCCAGGAAAACGTTACCTGCCTGACTGCATTGTGCCAACTGTAAAATTTGGTGGAGCAGGGATAATGTTATGGGGTTGTTTTTCAGTGGTTGGCCTAGGCCCCTTAGTTCCAGTGAAGGGAAATCTTAATGTTTCAGCATACCAAGAACGCTCTTCTGGATGAATGGACAAAAAATTCTCATAGACACACTCCAATATCTTGTATAGCTGCAAAGGGGGGGGGACCAACTCCATATTAATGCCTATGGATTTAGAATTGTATGTCAAAGCTCCTGTAAGTGTAATGTTGAGGTGTCCTAATACTTTTGTCCATATACTTTAACTTCTTAAGAACATATTCACACTGAATCTTATGCATAGGTATGTACTGGGGAGCAGCACCAGACAAGCATTTATGGAATGACAATCAACTCGACCAGCAAGATTTTATCACTAGTCACGTGTATGCAAGTGCTTTCTGAACGTTACGATTAACCTTACAGTAATCATACCAGAGATCAGATGGAATGCTATAAGTCCTGTTTGATGCATACAGCTAATTTTCCTTCATTTTGTCCTTGTTTTGGCATGACAGGACAAAGACGTGGCTCGACTACAAGATTTTCAGGAGCTGGAAGTTGTGTTGGAGAAGGCAGAGGGTTTGTCTCTGTTCTCTGGAGGCCCAGGGGGGCTGACTGATAGGCCCTGCTACAACATGAAGGCTTCCAGGCTGACTTACTAGCTCCCTGCACCAGACCCAGGATGAGGTGGACTGACCTATTCCCCATCTGGGGATTCTAGCCCTAAAAGCCCAATTCATAGTTAGTTTCAGTACTTAAAATCAGATACCATTCTTCCATTTTCCTCCTCAATGTATACATCATATTACCCATATACCTTCTCCACCAAAACTTGTGGACCTTGCCCAATGCATGTTCGCTGCAACTGTTTAAAGAACTGTTTGAGGGGCATCTCCTGCACCACAGTTACGTTTAGTTAGTTTTGCTTCATGTCAGAAAAGTATACAGATTTGAGCAGGAGTCTTTCATGGATCATGAGCTCATGCTGTAGTATCCATTGTTTTTGAATATTCAAATTCTTCTTGTGTGCCATTGGGCTGCAAGAAAGTATTCAAAACCATCACCTCCCCTGCTGTTGGGCTATGTTAAGTATTGCGATCTGACTGATTGCTGTGTGTGCTTATCAGGCCACCGTGTGGTTTGCACACAGCTCACATGGAAAGGCAAACCTTGACCTGTACCAGCACTTTGTTGGTTTTTAATTTTTTTTGTCACCTTGTCAACATGCATTTACACAGTCCTCCCACTAGAGGCTAATTTACCTTAATGTTTGTATTGGCAAAGCACATTGCAAATTGGTTTGAATGAGGAAAGTCCTTTTTTAAAGTGTGTAGTCGCATGTTTCAGTTATGCTAATGGAAGCTTCAGGTTGAACTTCAAACGGAGGATATTTTTATGTGCGTTTGCCAGACAATTCCCTGTGCACTTTACAAACAACAACAAAACAGTTACTTGTAATGCATGGGGCTTTATACTTTAGGTTTTTTTTAATACAACAGTGCTGTGCTGACTATATCAATGCCTTTGCTGCTCCTTCAGTCTCTGTAAGCCAAGCCAAAAACTAGTGGAAATGTTTGACGAAACTGTCGGTTCTAAACCATGTTGTCACAATCTCGTAAACAAAAGCAGAATGTCCTTTGTTCCTTATGTACTGAATAATGTAGCAAAACTTATTTTACTGTTCCTTTTTTATTGTAAGGGTTAAGATAAGCTCAAGAACACAATTAATTAATGCGAGCTTCCATGAACACTAACTGTCCCCAAAATTTGTTACTGGTTTAATTTAAAAAGAAAATAAGAAGGGCAACAGTACTATGTTGAATTTGGTTCTTTGGATACATTTTGCAAACTCTTTTTTTATGTTTCTAGGAAGTAGAATTCATACTTTGGTTGAATTATCGTTTTTGCAGCACCACCATTCAAGACAGTTCCCTGAAAGTCTGTACTGCACCCATAATTTGCAACAGTTTCTTGTCGTTTTGTCTGAATAAAACTTGTTGACGGCTCACAAACAAAGTAAAGTGCTCACACAGATGAGAAGGTTTGCTTTGTTGAATGAGCTGTTTCACAAACACTTTTTTGTTCTGTGTACAAAACAGTTGTGAACAAATATAAATTGGGCTTAACTGCGTATAATATGGAGACATAGATGCTGGTTCTGCATAGATTTTACTTTGCTTGAGACTGTTCATTTAAACACACTAAATTGTAAAGTAGTCTGAAGATATAGTTCTTTTGTAACACTTTAAATTATCTTAATATAAAAATGTGAATAGCAAAGCAGAAACTCTTGACCTTTAACCATCCCCTTACATACTATATTGCTGTATAATATAGATAGTTCTATATAATCTGTATAAAACTATCTATGATCTATAGTTTTTTTTTTTAAATCTTATTTTATAAATTAGCTACTTTTCATAGCTAGACTTGTGTGAGGAGGGGAGACTATTGAAAGGAAAAGGTAAGAGTACACTACAGCTGAAATGAAACCAAGCTCTTACTTATCTGTCTGTTTGCGGTTATGTCTTTGTGTCTGTCTTAACCTAGAACGACAAGGCAAACTGAAGGTTCATAGTGAAGTGAATTGATTGAACATGTTCATCAGCAGTATTCTATTACTCTGCTCTTTAAATTGTTTTAATTGGCTGAACTGTGGATTTTTCGCAAGGGGCTTGGTGGAGGAAGCTGGACAATGAAAAGTGCACTTGATTGAAATGGTTCCAAAGCTTCTGACTGGTGTAAGACAGAAATTCTTTGTGAAAAACTCTTAACAGTGTACTTACTGGTCATGTCCTAGAAGAAGAATACAGTTTGACTTAACCTATGCATCCAGACTCTGATCTTGCGTGTGTTTTGTGTACTTTGATACCCTCAGACACTTTTTTTTTTTGCCTTGTTTACTCTACGCTGTTTGGTACAGTATAGTAAATTTTATTCGCATTTCTGAATGCAGTGTTGTAAGGATGTGTACTGTCATTCAGGGGTGGCAAAATTAAAATAATTATGGTGTTTCTCAGGTATACCACTAGAGGGGAGGATTGAGTCACTGTTGATTTCCAACTGTATCCTGACTTGGTGCCAGATTTTTTTATTTTTTTTTTTATTCCTTTAAAAAAAACATTTTTTGTGTAGAAGATGCATAGGACATTTCTTCACCTTAGTCATGTTATTTACAAAAGGAGGCATCACCATTGCTTTCTGTGAACTGTAGATCCTGGGGCAATTTATATTACAAGAAATAACAGAGAATCTAAGGCTGTATAAAGTAATTGTTTATAAGTTCTGCTCCTAGGTATCCTTTGCCCTGCACAGATTCAGCCACAATTGTGTGCAAAGGTTTAGACACCCCTTTCCAAAGTGCAGATTTTGTTGAGTTTTGAAGTGAAAAGAAGTAAATATAACCTCTGCAGCAATTTAAAGCAGTAATGGTGGCATGTGCAAAAGTTTATAGACATCTTAGTAACACCCTCTTGGGCAGATATCGCAGCTTACTCATGCTTTGTACTACCCACTCTTTCTTGCCAAACACTTGTAGATTGTGATGTTCTTGCACAGCATGATTTAAAATCTACTTGATGGTTTGATTTGGATCATTGTTTTGTACAAGCCAGCCTCTTTTCAGCTGTAGCTTCTTGACGGACTGTGTCACATTTGCTTCTAGAATTTACTGATATTTATGCAATCTGTTTTTCGATCTACCCATGCAGTGCTTCATGTGCCACTTGCTGCCAAGCAGTCTTAAAGCATAATAGGTCCACTCCCACGCTGAAAAAAAAAAGTTGTTGAATTTAAATGAGAACATCAGTTCCAAACAGACAAGGACTTACACATAGAAATTATGTTGATGGAACATATTTCATTAATGTAGAGCAAATGTACATATTTACATCATGTAAATTTAAAGTAACCTTTTCTCCAACCATACCTTTGGGGATTGTGACCAAGGAGTTTCATTTTTACATCTTCAGTCCACGAAACTTGTTTCCAAAATGCTTTTGGCTTGTAGAAGTTGATCTAGATGTTGATTTGTATACTTCAGACGTTGGCTTTTTTGATGAGGTCACAGGTATGGTTTCCTTCTGATGACACTTCCTTGCAGATCATGCTTGCACAAGTAGTGCTGCTCAGTAAAAGTGTACTCTTGTCAGAGCTAAGCCTTCCTGCAGGTCCTTTGCGGTCATATGACGGTTTTTCATTCTGGCTAGCACACAAGCACCTTCTGGTTGTCCTTCAGCCAATACTGAGGTGGAGCCAATGGTTTAAAATGATCGCACTTGAATTCATAAATAAGAAATATAAAATGTTTTCAAGTGGCAAACAATATCAGTACAAACCCTGCAGCAATAGAGCACAAAGCAGCTTCATCATCTTTTTTTTTTTTTTATCTCTTGCCTCTAAAAACGACAGCTGGGATAGGCTCCAGCAACCCAGAGGGATAAGCAGTTTAGAAAGTGTGTGTGTGTGTGTTAATTTATTATTAATAATTATTATCCATTAATAATTATTAACATTATTTTGCTTGATTTTAGTTATAAAGCCAAATTAACATTATCTATTGACAGTTTGTCTTAGGACATCACTGTGCAGAAGAATACACAAAAATAATTTTTTAAGCAAAAAATGTTTTTGTTAAACTGTGGAACTGATAATTTGGTGGGCCTTGCAGTGGAAAAGTTTGAGAACCTCTGTAATGAAGTATACCTCACTTTTACTGCTCTAATTTTTGGCCACTTTTTTCTTTTCTATAACTTTAGAGGAAGCCTAGAAAAAAATGTAGATAAAATAATACCTGTGTAATAGAGTGGGTGTCAAAGACATATGCACAACAGTCGAAACCGCAGCACTAGTTCTGCACTAGTTGTGCGCTAAATGTTTATATTCCTGTTTGCTCTCTGCACAGTGGAACATCAGTTGCTGCGAAACTTCTGTCTGCTCTGTTTTCCTCAGCAAGTACACACCTAAAAATATAATTCATCAGTTCTTCAGTAAAGAAAATGGTTCTATATAGAACCAAGAACACTCAAAGCAACTGAGATCCAGTAATGCACACTTGACTTCAAGAGCACATCAGTCTTCAACAATTGTGTGATATTTAAAGATGTTCTCGTAGACAAAGCTGGGTTTGGATTCCATGCATCCAGAGCACAACGGATTAGAAGTCCACCTCCCTAAACTTTCGTCCAGCTCGGAAAAAGAATTACGAGTTTTTTGCCGTGTTGAATTTTTTTCTTTTACGTAGGTTTCATGGAGAATTGAAATACCATCTCAGAACAGAAATCGAACCTTTGACCTCAGGAGCAGATCAAGGTACAACATTAGTTTGGTGACTGAATATAGCCTTTTTGACAATGATGGGATTCAATCCCATGTGTGCGGAGCTCAACAGGTTAACAGTCCATCCCTCTAACCGTTCAGTAAATTGGGAAAAGGCATAGTGTGTCGTTTGCCATATAGAAATGTCTTCTTTTGGATAGGTTTCATGGAGAATTGCAATATCATCTCAGCACAAGAATAACACCTTTGACCTAAGCAGCAGACCGTGGTTCAACTTTACTTTGATGACTAAAGACAGCCTTTTCACCGAAGAAGCGATCTTCTGCTAAAACTTTTAGCCAACTCGTAAAAGTTGTTAGGGGTTGTTTGCCATAGAGAAAGTTTTTTCTTTTAAGTAGGTGTGATGGAGAATTGTGATACCATCTCAGAGAAAGCATTGCAATATCGACCTGAGATCAACATTTAATTTGATGACTAAAGAAAGCCTGTTCGACGAAGGTGGGATTCGAACCCACGCGTGCAGAGCACAATGGATTAGCAGTAAATCGCCCCAGTCCATGGAGCAGAGGTGCGTGTTCCTCGCTATAAGAACAAATCTAAGCGTTCTAGCGCTAACTATGTCCATTTAAGAGGGCTGAATGGCAAACACATGTCTAACCTTTAGAAACAGTACACTGCAACTTTCTATGGCCTACATTTTTGCCCACCTGTTTCTGTACTACACATTAAAATGTCATTCATATATTTTTAACAATATGTAGAGTGCGTGTCATGGAGTACTGCCATAGCATCTCAGAACAAGCACTGCACTTGTACTTTTCTGTGATAATAAAATAAATCTTTCTAGAGCTAACTATGTTTGTTTAACAGAGATTCATGTCAAACACATGTCTACAAATGTCAAACAGTACATTGGAACCTTCGACGCCCTACGTTTTTGACGCCCTGTTTATTTACTGGACAGTGAAGTGTCATTTGGTACTGAAATGTCGGCCAAACTTTTTACACTAAATAAGGTGGCGTCCTGAAATATTGAAATAGCAACTGAGATCCAGTAATGCACACTTGACTTCAAGAGCACATCAGTCTTCAACAATTGTGTGATATTTAAAGATGTCCTCGTAGACGAAGCTGGGTTTGGATCCCATGCATCCAGAGCACAACGGATTAGAAGTCCACCTCCCTAAACTTTCGTCCAGCTCGGAAAAAGAATTAGGAGTTTTTTGCCGTGTTGAATTTTTTTCTTTTACATAGGTTTCATGGAGAATTGAACTATCATCTCAGAACAGAAATTGAACTTTTGACCTCGGGAGCAGATCAAGGTACAACATTAGTTTGGTGACTGAATATAGCCTTTTTGACAATGATGGGATTCAATCCCATGTGTGCGGAGCTCAACAGGTTAACAGTCCATCCCTCTAACCGTTCAGTCAATTGGGAAAAGGCATAGTGTGTCGTTTGCCATATAGAAATTTCTTCTTTTGGATAGGTTTCATGGAGAATTGCAATATCATCTCAGCACAAGAATAACACCTTTGACCTCAGGAGCAGACCATGGTTCAACTTTACTTTGATGACTAAAGACAGCCTTTTCAACGAAGAAGCGATCTTCTGCTAAAACTTTCGGCCATTTAGTAAAAGTTGTTAGGGGTCGTTTGCCATAGAGAAAGTTTTTTTCTTTTAAGTAGTTATGATAGAGAATTGTGATACCATCTCAGAGAAGCATTGCACTATCGACCTGAGATCAACATTTAATTTGACGACTAAAGAAAGCCTGTTCGACGAAGGTGGGATTCGAACCCACGCGTGCAGAGCACAATGGATTAGCAGTCCATCGCCTTAACCACTCGGCCACCTCGTCGACGTGAAAGGGATTGTGTGGCTTATTTTCCTCTCTATAACAATATGACAAATCGTTCTATGACTCACTTGGTCCGTTTAGAGGGGATTCATGTGAAAAGCATGCCTAACAATGATAAACAGTACATAGGAATTTTCTATGGCCTAAACTTTTGCCCACCTGTTTCCTTACTGGACGGTGAAACGTCAGCTGGTATTGAACTGTGGGCGTCATGAAGTACTGAAATAGCATGTTAGAAAGGGTATTGCGCGTCTGACCTCAAGTGCACATCAGTGTACAACAGTTGTGTCATGTTTGAAGACAGCCTTTGTTGTTGAAGTTAGGATTGGATCTCACGCATCCAGAGCAAAGCAGATTCGCAGTCCACCTCCCTGACCTTTCGGCCAAATCGGAGGAAGTCTTGGTTGTCGTTTGCCGTAGAGAAATTCTTTCTTTCAAATCAGTGTCAGGTAGAATGGAAAGAGCACCTCAGAGCAAACATTGCACTTTTGACCGGAGGTCAACGTTCACTGTTAGTTTGATGACTAAAGAAGCTCTTTCCGACGAAGGTGGGATTCGAACCCACGCGTGCAGAGCACAATGGATTAGCAGTCCATCGCCTTAACCACTCGGCCACCTCGTCCACACGAGGGAGCAGAGGTGCGTGTTCCTCGCTATAAGAACAAATCTAAGCGTTCTAGCGCTAACTATGTCCATTTAAGAGGGCTGAATGGCAAACACATGTCTAACCTTTAGAAACAGTACACTGCAACTTTCTATGGCCTAAATTTTTGCCCACCTGTTTCTGTACTACACATTAAAATGTCATTCATATATTTTTAACAATATGTAGAGTGCGTGTCATGGAGTACTGCCATAGCATCTCAGACAGGCACTGCACTTGTACTTTTCTGTGATAATAAAATAAATCTTTCTAGAGCTAACTATGTTTGTTTAACAGAGATTCATGTCAAACACATGTCTACAAATGTCAAACAGTACAGTGGAACCTTCGACTGCCCTACGTTTTTGACGCCCTGTTTATTTACTGGACAGTGAAGTGTCATTTGGTACTGAAATGTCGGCCAAACTTTGACACTAAATAAGGTGGCGTCCTGAAATATTGAAATAGCAACTGAGATCCAGTAATGCACACTTGACTTCAAGAGCACATCAGTCTTCAACAATTGTGTGATATTTAAAGATGTCCTCGTAGACGAAGCTGGGTTTGGATCCCATGCATCCAGAGCACAACGGATTAGAAGTCCACCTCCCTAAACCTTTCGTCCAGCTCGGAAAAAGAATTAGGAGTTTTTTGCCGTGTTGAATTTTTTTCTTTTACGTAGGTTTCATGGAGAATTGAACTATCATCTCAGAACAGAAATTGAACCTTTGACCTCGGGAGCAGATCAAGGTACAACATTAGTTTGGTGACTAAATATAGCCTTTTTGACAATGATGGGATTCAATCCCATGTGTGCGGAGCTCAACAGGTTAACAGTCCATCCCTCTAACCGTTCAGTCAATTGGGAAAAGGCATAGTGTGTCGTTTGCCATATAGAAATTTCTTCTTTTGGATAGGTTTCATGGAGAATTGCAATATCATCTCAGCACAAGAATAACACCTTTGACCTCAGGAGCAGACCATGGTTCAACTTTACTTTGATGACTAAAGACAGCCTTTTCAACGAAGAAGGGATCTTCTGCTAAAGCTTTCAGCCAACTCGTAAAAGTTTGTTAGGGGTCGTTTGCCATAGAGAAAGTTTTTCTTTTAAGTAGTTGTGATGGAGAATTGTGATACCATCTCAGAGAAAGCATTGCAATATCGACCTGAGATCAACATTTAATTTGATGACTAAAGAAAGCTCTTTCCGACGAAGGTGGGATTCGAACCCACGCGTGCAGAGCACAATGGATTAGCAGTCCATCGCCTTAACCACTCGGCCACCTCGTCGACATGAAAGGGATCGTGTGGCTTATTTTCCTCTCTATAACAATATGACAAATCGTTCTATGACTCACTTGGTCCGTTTAGAGGGGATTCATGTGAAAAGCATGCCTAACAATGATAAACAGTACATAGGAATTTTCTATGGCCTAAACTTTTGCCCACCTGTTTCCTTACTGGACGGTGAAACGTCAGCTGGTATTGAACTGTGGGCGTCATGAAGTACTGAAATAGCATGTTAGAAAGGGTATTGCGCGTCTGACCTCAAGTGCACATCAGTGTACAACAGTTGTGTCATGTTTGAAGACAGCCTTTGTTGTTGAAGTTAGGATTGGATCTCACGCATCCAGAGCAAAGCAGATTCGCAGTCCACCTCCCTGACCTTTCGGCCAAATCGGAGGAAGTCTTGGTTGTCGTTTGCCGTAGAGAAATTCTTTCTTTCAAATCAGTGTCAGGTAGAATGGAAAGAGCACCTCAGAGCAAACATTGCACTTTTGACCGGAGGTCAAAGTTCACTGTTAGTTTGAAGACTAAAGAAGCTCTTTCCGACGAAGGTGGGATTCGAACCCACGCGTGCAGAGCACAATGGATTAGCAGTCCATCGCCTTAACCACTCGGCCACCTCGTCCACACGAGGGAGCAGAGGTGCGTGTTCCTCGCTATAAGAACAAATCTAAGCGTTCTAGCGCTAACTATGTCCATTTAAGAGGGCTGAATGGCAAACACATGTCTAACCTTTAGAAACAGTACACTGCAACTTTCTATGGCCTAAATTTTTGCCCACCTGTTTCTGTACTACACATTAAAATGTCATTCATATATTTTTAACAATATGTAGAGTGCGTGTCATGGAGTACTGCCATAGCATCTCAGAACAAGCACTGCACTTGTACTTTTCTGTGATAATAAAATAAATCTTTCTAGAGCTAACTATGTTTGTTTAACAGAGATTCATGTCAAACACATGTCTACAAATGTCAAACAGTACATTGGAACCTTCGACGCCCTACGTTTTTGACGCCCTGTTTATTTACTGGACAGTGAAGTGTCATTTGGTACTGAAATGTCGGCCAAACTTTTTACACTAAATAAGGTGGCGTCCTGAAATATTGAAATAGCAACTGAGATCCAGTAATGCACACTTGACTTCAAGAGCACATCAGTCTTCAACAATTGTGTGATATTTAAAGATGTCCTCGTAGACGAAGCTGGGTTTGGATCCCATGCATCCAGAGCACAACGGATTAGAAGTCCACCTCCCTAAACTTTCGTCCAGCTCGGAAAAAGAATTAGGAGTTTTTTGCCGTGTTGAATTTTTTTCTTTTACGTAGGTTTCATGGAGAATTGAACTATCATCTCAGAACAGAAATTGAACCTTTGACCTCGGGAGCAGATCAAGGTACAACATTAGTTTGGTGACTAAATATAGCCTTTTTGACAATGATGGGATTCAATCCCATGTGTGCGGAGCTCAACAGGTTAACAGTCCATCCCTCTAACCGTTCAGTCAATTGGGAAAAGGCATAGTGTGTCGTTTGCCATATAGAAATTTCTTCTTTTGGATAGGTTTCATGGAGAATTGCAATATCATCTCAGCACAAGAATAACACCTTTGACCTCAGGAGCAGACCATGGTTCAACTTTACTTTGATGACTAAAGACAGCCTTTTCAACGAAGAAGGGATCTTCTGCTAAAACTTTTGGCCAACTCGTAAAAGTTGTTAGGGGTCGTTTGCCATAGAGAAAGTCTTTTCTTTTAAGTAGTGTGATGGAGAATTGTGATACCATCTCAGAGAAAGCATTGCAATATCGACCTGAGATCAACATTTAATTTGATGACTAAAGAAGCTCTTTCCGACGAAGGTGGGATTCGAACCCACGCGTGCAGAGCACAATGGATTAGCAGTCCATCGCCTTAACCACTCGGCCACCTCGTCGACATGAAAGGGATTGTGTGGCTTATTTTCCTCTCTATAACAATATGACAAATCGTTCTATGACTCACTTGGTCCGTTTAGAGGGGATTCATGTGAAAAGCATGCCTAACAATGATAAACAGTACATAGGAATTTTCTATGGCCTAAACTTTTGCCCACCTGTTTCCTTACTGGACGGTGAAACGTCAGCTGGTATTGAACTGTGGGCGTCATGAAGTACTGAAATAGCATGTTAGAAAGGGTATTGCGCGTCTGACCTCAAGTGCACATCAGTGTACAACAGTTGTGTCATGTTTGAAGACAGCCTTTGTTGTTGAAGTTAGGATTGGATCTCACGCATCCAGAGCAAAGCAGATTCGCAGTCCACCTCCCTGACCTTTCGGCCAAATCGGAGGAAGTCTTGGTTGTCGTTTGCCGTAGAGAAATTCTTTCTTTCAAATCAGTGTCAGGTAGAATGGAAAGAGCACCTCAGAGCAAACATTGCACTTTTGACCGGAGGTCAACGTTCACTGTTAGTTTGATGACTAAAGAAGCTCTTTCCGACGAAGGTGGGATTCGAACCCACGCGTGCAGAGCACAATGGATTAGCAGTCCATCGCCTTAACCACTCGGCCACCTCGTCCACACGAGGGAGCAGAGGTGCGTGTTCCTCGCTATAAGAACAAATCTAAGCGTTCTAGCGCTAACTATGTCCATTTAAGAGGGCTGAATGGCAAACACATGTCTAACCTTTAGAAACAGTACACTGCAACTTTCTATGGCCTAAATTTTTGCCCACCTGTTTCTGTACTACACATTAAAATGTCATTCATATATTTTTAACAATATGTAGAGTGCGTGTCATGGAGTACTGCCATAGCATCTCAGAACAAGCACTGCACTTGTACTTTTCTGTGATAATAAAATAAATCTTTCTAGAGCTAACTATGTTTGTTTAACAGAGATTCATGTCAAACACATGTCTACAAATGTCAAACAGTACATTGGAACCTTCGACGCCCTACGTTTTTGACGCCCTGTTTATTTACTGGACAGTGAAGTGTCATTTGGTACTGAAATGTCGGCCAAACTTTTTACACTAAATAAGGTGGCGTCCTGAAATATTGAAATAGCAACTGAGATCCAGTAATGCACACTTGACTTCAAGAGCACATCAGTCTTCAACAATTGTGTGATATTTAAAGATGTCCTCGTAGACGAAGCTGGGTTTGGATCCCATGCATCCAGAGCACAACGGATTAGAAGTCCACCTCCCTAAACTTTCGTCCAGCTCGGAAAAAGAATTAGGAGTTTTTTGCCGTGTTGAATTTTTTTCTTTTACGTAGGTTTCATGGAGAATTGAACTATCATCTCAGAACAGAAATTGAACCTTTGACCTCGGGAGCAGATCAAGGTACAACATTAGTTTGGTGACTAAATATAGCCTTTTTGACAATGATGGGATTCAATCCCATGTGTGCGGAGCTCAACAGGTTAACAGTCCATCCCTCTAACCGTTCAGTCAATTGGGAAAAGGCATAGTGTGTCGTTTGCCATATAGAAATTTCTTCTTTTGGATAGGTTTCATGGAGAATTGCAATATCATCTCAGCACAAGAATAACACCTTTGACCTCAGGAGCAGACCATGGTTCAACTTTACTTTGATGACTAAAGACAGCCTTTTCAACGAAGAAGGGATCTTCTGCTAAAACTTTTGGCCAACTCGTAAAAGTTGTTAGGGGTCGTTTGCCATAGAGAAAGTTTTTTCTTTTAAGTAGTTGTGATGGAGAATTGTGATACCATCTCAGAGAAAGCATTGCAATATCGACCTGAGATCAACATTTAATTTGATGACTAAAGAAAGCCTGTTCGACGAAGGTGGGATTCGAACCCACGCGTGCAGAGCACAATGGATTAGCAGTCCATCGCCTTAACCTCTCGGCCACCTCGTCGACATGAAAGGGATCGTGTGGCTTATTTTCCTCTCTATAACAATATGACAAATCGTTCTGTGACTCGCTAGGTCCGTTTAGAGGGGATTCATGTGAAAAGCATGCCTAACAATGATAAACAGTACATAGGAATTTTCTATGGCCTAAACTTTTGCCCACCTGTTTCCTTACTGGACGGTGAAACGTCAGCTGGTATTGAACTGTGGGCGTCATGAAGTACTGAAATAGCATGTTAGAAAGGGTATTGCGCGTCTGACCTCAAGTGCACATCAGTGTACAACAGTTGTGTCATGTTTGAAGACAGCCTTTGTTGTTGAAGTTAGGATTGGATCTCACGCATCCAGAGCAAAGCAGATTCGCAGTCCACCTCCCTGACCTTTCGGCCAAATCGGAGGAAGTCTTGGTTGTCGTTTGCCGTAGAGAAATTCTTTCTTTCAAATCAGTGTCAGGTAGAATGGAAAGAGCACCTCAGAGCAAACATTGCACTTTTGACCGGAGGTCAACGTTCACTGTTAGTTTGATGACTAAAGAAGCTCTTTCCGACGAAGGTGGGATTCGAACCCACGCGTGCAGAGCACAATGGATTAGCAGTCCATCGCCTTAACCACTCGGCCACCTCGTCCACACGAGGGAGCAGAGGTGCGTGTTCCTCGCTATAAGAACAAATCTAAGCGTTCTAGCGCTAACTATGTCCATTTAAGAGGGCTGAATGGCAAACACATGTCTAACCTTTAGAAACAGTACACTGCAACTTTCTATGGCCTAAATTTTTGCCCACCTGTTTCTGTACTACACATTAAAATGTCATTCATATATTTTTAACAATATGTAGAGTGCGTGTCATGGAGTACTGCCATAGCATCTCAGAACAAGCACTGCACTTGTACTTTTCTGTGATAATAAAATAAATCTTTCTAGAGCTAACTATGTTTGTTTAACAGAGATTCATGTCAAACACATGTCTACAAATGTCAAACAGTACATTGGAACCTTCGACGCCCTACGTTTTTGACGCCCTGTTTATTTACTGGACAGTGAAGTGTCATTTGGTACTGAAATGTCGGCCAAACTTTTTACACTAAATAAGGTGGCGTCCTGAAATATTGAAATAGCAACTGAGATCCAGTAATGCACACTTGACTTCAAGAGCACATCAGTCTTCAACAATTGTGTGATATTTAAAGATGTCCTCGTAGACGAAGCTGGGTTTGGATCCCATGCATCCAGAGCACAACGGATTAGAAGTCCACCTCCCTAACCTTTCGTCCAGCTCGGAAAAAGAATTAGGAGTTTTTTGCCGTGTTGAATTTTTTTCTTTTATGTAGGTTTCATGGAGAATTGAACTATCATCTCAGAACAGAAATTGAACCTTTGACCTCGGCAGCAGATCAAGGTACAACATTAGTTTGGTGACTAAATATAGCCTTTTTGACAATGATGGGATTCAATCCCATGTGTGCGGAGCTCAACAGGTTAACAGTCCATCCCTCTAACCGTTCAGTCAATTGGGAAAAGGCATAGTGTGTCGTTTGCCATATAGAAATTTCTTCTTTTGGATAGGTTTCATGGAGAATTGCAATATCATCTCAGCACAAGAATAACACCTTTGACCTCAGGAGCAGACCATGGTTCAACTTTACTTTGATGACTAAAGACAGCCTTTTCAACGAAGAAGGGATCTTCTGCTAAAACTTTTGGCCAACTCGTAAAAGTTGTTAGGGGTCGTTTGCCATAGAGAAAGTTTTTTCTTTTAAGTAGGTGTGATGGAGAATTGTGATACCATCTCAGAGAAAGCATTGCAATATCGACCTGAGATCAACATTTAATTTGATGACTAAAGAAAGCCTGTTCGACGAAGGTGGGATTCGAACCCACGCGTGCAGAGCACAATGGATTAGCAGTCCATCGCCTTAACCTCTCGGCCACCTCGTCGACATGAAAGGGATCGTGTGGCTTATTTTCCTCTCTATAACAATATGACAAATCGTTCTGTGACTCGCTAGGTCCGTTTAGAGGGGATTCATGTGAAAAGCATGCCTAACAATGATAAACAGTACATAGGAATTTTCTATGGCCTAAACTTTTGCCCACCTGTTTCCTTACTGGACGGTGAAACGTCAGCTGGTATTGAACTGTGGGCGTCATGAAGTACTGAAATAGCATGTTAGAAAGGGTATTGCGGGTCTGACCTCAAGTGCACATCAGTGTACAACAGTTGTGTCATGTTTGAAGACAGCCTTTGTTGTTGAAGTTAGGATTGGATCTCACGCATCCAGAGCAAAGCAGATTCGCAGTCCACCTCCCTGACCTTTCGGCCAAATCGGAGGAAGTCTTGGTTGTCGTTTGCCGTAGAGAAATTCTTTCTTTCAAATCAGTGTCAGGTAGAATGGAAAGAGCACCTCAGAGCAAACATTGCACTTTTGACCGGAGGTCAACGTTCACTGTTAGTTTGATGACTAAAGAAGCTCTTTCCGACGAAGGTGGGATTCGAACCCACGCGTGCAGAGCACAATGGATTAGCAGTCCATCGCCTTAACCTCTCGGCCACCTCGTCGACATGACAGGGATCGTGTGGCTTATTTTCCTCTCTAGAACAATATGACAAATCGTTCTGTGACTCGCTAGGTCCGTTTAGAGGGGATTCATGTGAAAAGCATGCCTAACAATGATAAACAGTACATAGGAATTTTCTATGGCCTAAACTTTTGCCCACCTGTTTCCTTACTGGACGGTGAAACGTCAGCTGGTATTGAACTGTGGGCGTCATGAAGTACTGAAATAGCATGTTAGAAAGGGTATTGCGGGTCTGACCTCAAGTGCACATCAGTGTACAACAGTTGTGTCATGTTTGAAGACAGCCTTTGTTGTTGAAGTTAGGATTGGATCTCACGCATCCAGAGCAAAGCAGATTCGCAGTCCACCTCCCTGACCTTTCGGCCAAATCGGAGGAAGTCTTGGTTGTCGTTTGCCGTAGAGAAATTCTTTCTTTCAAATCAGTGTCAGGTAGAATGGAAAGAGCACCTCAGAGCAAACATTGCACTTTTGACCGGAGGTCAACGTTCACTGTTAGTTTGATGACTAAAGAAGCTCTTTCCGACGAAGGTGGGATTCGAACCCACGCGTGCAGAGCACAATGGATTAGCAGTCCATCGCCTTAACCACTCGGCCACCTCGTCCACACGAGGGAGCAGAGGTGCGTGTTCCTCGCTATAAGAACAAATCTAAGCGTTCTAGCGCTAACTATGTCCATTTAAGAGGGCTGAATGGCAAACACATGTCTAACCTTTAGAAACAGTACACTGCAACTTTCTATGGCCTAAATTTTTGCCCACCTGTTTCTGTACTACACATTAAAATGTCATTCATATATTTTTAACAATATGTAGAGTGCGTGTCATGGAGTACTGCCATAGCATCTCAGAACAAGCACTGCACTTGTACTTTTCTGTGATAATAAAATAAATCTTTCTAGAGCTAACTATGTTTGTTTAACAGAGATTCATGTCAAACACATGTCTACAAATGTCAAACAGTACATTGGAACCTTCGACGCCCTACGTTGTTGACGCCCTGTTTATTTACTGGACAGTGAAGTGTCATTTGGTACTGAAATGTCGGCCAAACTTTTTACACTAAATAAGGTGGCGTCCTGAAATATTGAAATAGCAACTGAGATCCAGTAATGCACACTTGACTTCAAGAGCACATCAGTCTTCAACAATTGTGTGATATTTAAAGATGTCCTCGTAGACGAAGCTGGGTTTGGATCCCATGCATCCAGAGCACAACGGATTAGAAGTCCACCTCCCTAAACTTTCGTCCAGCTCGGAAAAAGAATTAGGAGTTTTTTGCCGTGTTGAATTTTTTTCTTTTACGTAGGTTTCATGGAGAATTGAACTATCATCTCAGAACAGAAATTGAACCTTTGACCTCGGGAGCAGATCAAGGTACAACATTAGTTTGGTGACTAAATATAGCCTTTTTGACAATGATGGGATTCAATCCCATGTGTGCGGAGCTCAACAGGTTAACAGTCCATCCCTCTAACCGTTCAGTCAATTGGGAAAAGGCATAGTGTGTCGTTTGCCATATAGAAATTTCTTCTTTTGGATAGGTTTCATGGAGAATTGCAATATCATCTCAGCACAAGAATAACACCTTTGACCTCAGGAGCAGACCATGGTTCAACTTTACTTTGATGACTAAAGACAGCCTTTTCAACGAAGAAGGGATCTTCTGCTAAAACTTTTGGCCAACTCGTAAAAGTTGTTAGGGGTCGTTTGCCATAGAGAAAGTTTTTTCTTTTAAGTAGTTGTGATGGAGAATTGTGATACCATCTCAGAGAAAGCATTGCAATATCGACCTGAGATCAACATTTAATTTGATGACTAAAGAAAGCCTGTTCGACGAAGGAGGGATTCGAACCCACGCGTGCAGAGCACAATGGATTAGCAGTCCATCGCCTTAACCTCTCGGCCACCTCGTCGACATGACAGGGATCGTGTGGCTTATTTTCCTCTCTAGAACAATATGACAAATCGTTCTGTGACTCGCTAGGTCCGTTTAGAGGGGATTCATGTGAAAAGCATGCCTAACAATGATAAACAGTACATAGGAATTTTCTATGGCCTAAACTTTTGCCCACCTGTTTCCTTACTGGACGGTGAAACGTCAGCTGGTATTGAACTGTGGGCGTCATGAAGTACTGAAATAGCATGTTAGAAAGGGTATTGCGCGTCTGACCTCAAGTGCACATCAGTGTACAACAGTTGTGTCATGTTTGAAGACAGCCTTTGTTGTTGAAGTTAGGATTGGATCTCACGCATCCAGAGCAAAGCAGATTCGCAGTCCACCTCCCTGACCTTTCGGCCAAATCGGAGGAAGTCTTGGTTGTCGTTTGCCGTAGAGAAATTCTTTCTTTCAAATCAGTGTCAGGCAGAATGGAAAGAGCACCTCAGAGCAAACATTGCACTTTTGACCGGAGGTCAACGTTCATTGTTAGTTTGATGACTAAAGAAGCTCTTTCCGACGAAGGTGGGATTCGAACCCACGCGTGCAGAGCACAATGGATTAGCAGTCCATCGCCTTAACCACTCGGCCACCTCGTCCACACGAGGGAGCAGAGGTGCGTGTTCCTCGCTATAAGAACAAATCTAAGCGTTCTAGCGCTAACTATGTCCATTTAAGAGGGCTGAATGGCAAACACATGTCTAACCTTTAGAAACAGTACACTGCAACTTTCTATGGCCTAAATTTTTGCCCACCTGTTTCTGTACTACACATTAAAATGTCATTCATATATTTTTAACAATATGTAGAGTGCGTGTCATGGAGTACTGCCATAGCATCTCAGAACAAGCACTGCACTTGTACTTTTCTGTGATAATAAAATAAATCTTTCTAGAGCTAACTATGTTTGTTTAACAGAGATTCATGTCAAACACATGTCTACAAATGTCAAACAGTACAGTGGAACCTTCGACGCCCTACGTTTTTGACGCCCTGTTTATTTACTGGACAGTGAAGTGTCATTTGGTACTGAAATGTCGGCCAAACTTTTTACACTAAATAAGGTGGCGTCCTGAAATATTGAAATAGCAACTGAGATCCAGTAATGCACACTTGACTTCAAGAGCACATCAGTCTTCAACAATTGTGTGATATTTAAAGATGTCCTCGTAGACGAAGCTGGGTTTGGATCCCATGCATCCAGAGCACAACGGATTAGAAGTCCACCTCCCTAAACCTTTCGTCCAGCTCGGAAAAAGAATTAGGAGTTTTTTGCCGTGTTGAATTTTTTTCTTTTATGTAGGTTTCATGGAGAATTGAACTATCATCTCAGAACAGAAATTGAACCTTTGACCTCGGGAGCAGATCAAGGTACAACATTAGTTTGGTGACTAAATATAGCCTTTTTGACAATGATGGGATTCAATCCCATGTGTGCGGAGCTCAACAGGTTAACAGTCCATCCCTCTAACCGTTCAGTCAATTGGGAAAAGGCATAGTGTGTCGTTTGCCATATAGAAATTTCTTCTTTTGGATAGGTTTCATGGAGAATTGCAATATCATCTCAGCACAAGAATAACACCTTTGACCTCAGGAGCAGACCATGGTTCAACTTTACTTTGATGACTAAAGACAGCCTTTTCAACGAAGAAGGGATCTTCTGCTAAAACTTTTGGCCAACTCGTAAAAGTTGTTAGGGGTCGTTTGCCATAGAGAAAGTTTTTTCTTTTAAGTAGGTGTGATGGAGAATTGTGATACCATCTCAGAGAAAGCATTGCAATATCGACCTGAGATCAACATTTAATTTGATGACTAAAGAAAGCCTGTTCGACGAAGGTGGGATTCGAACCCACGCGTGCAGAGCACAATGGATTAGCAGTCCATCGCCTTAACCTCTCGGCCACCTCGTCGACATGAAAGGGATCGTGTGGCTTATTTTCCTCTCTATAACAATATGACAAATCGTTCTGTGACTCGCTAGGTCCGTTTAGAGGGGATTCATGTGAAAAGCATGCCTAACAATGATAAACAGTACATAGGAATTTTCTATGGCCTAAACTTTTGCCCACCTGTTTCCTTACTGGACGGTGAAACGTCAGCTGGTATTGAACTGTGGGCGTCATGAAGTACTGAAATAGCATGTTAGAAAGGGTATTGCGCGTCTGACCTCAAGTGCACATCAGTGTACAACAGTTGTGTCATGTTTGAAGACAGCCTTTGTTGTTGAAGTTAGGATTGGATCTCACGCATCCAGAGCAAAGCAGATTCGCAGTCCACCTCCCTGACCTTTCGGCCAAATCGGAGGAAGTCTTGGTTGTCGTTTGCCGTAGAGAAATTCTTTCTTTCAAATCAGTGTCAGGTAGAATGGAAAGAGCACCTCAGAGCAAACATTGCACTTTTGACCGGAGGTCAACGTTCACTGTTAGTTTGATGACTAAAGAAGCTCTTTCCGACGAAGGTGGGATTCGAACCCACGCGTGCAGAGCACAATGGATTAGCAGTCCATCGCCTTAACCACTCGGCCACCTCGTCCACACGAGGGAGCAGAGGTGCGTGTTCCTCGCTATAAGAACAAATCTAAGCGTTCTAGCGCTAACTATGTCCATTTAAGAGGGCTGAATGGCAAACACATGTCTAACCTTTAGAAACAGTACACTGCAACTTTCTATGGCCTAAATTTTTGCCCACCTGTTTCTGTACTACACATTAAAATGTCATTCATATATTTTTAACAATATGTAGAGTGCGTGTCATGGAGTACTGCCATAGCATCTCAGAACAAGCACTGCACTTGTACTTTTCTGTGATAATAAAATAAATCTTTCTAGAGCTAACTATGTTTGTTTAACAGAGATTCATGTCAAACACATGTCTACAAATGTCAAACAGTACAGTGGAACCTTCGATGCCCTACGTTTTTGACGCCCTGTTTATTTACTGGACAGTGAAGTGTCATTTGGTACTGAAATGTCGGCCAAACTTTTTACACTAAATAAGGTGGCGTCCTGAAATATTGAAATAGCAACTGAGATCCAGTAATGCACACTTGACTTCAAGAGCACATCAGTCTTCAACAATTGTGTGATATTTAAAGATGTCCTCGTAGACGAAGCTGGGTTTGGATCCCATGCATCCAGAGCACAACGGATTAGAAATCCACCTCCCTAAACTTTCGTCCAGCTCGGAAAAAGAATTAGGAGTTTTTTGCCGTGTTGAATTTTTTTCTTTTACGTAGGTTTCATGGAGAATTGAACTATCATCTCAGAACAGAAATTGAACCTTTGACCTCGGGAGCAGATCAAGGTACAACATTAGTTTGGTGACTAAATATAGCCTTTTTGACAATGATGGGATTCAATCCCATGTGTGCGGAGCTCAACAGGTTAACAGTCCATCCCTCTAACCGTTCAGTCAATTGGGAAAAGGCATAGTGTGTCGTTTGCCATATAGAAATTTCTTCTTTTGGATAGGTTTCATGGAGAATTGCAATATCATCTCAGCACAAGAATAACACCTTTGACCTCAGGAGCAGACCATGGTTCAACTTTACTTTGATGACTAAAGACAGCCTTTTCAACGAAGAAGGGATCTTCTGCTAAAGCTTTCAGCCAACTCGTAAAAGTTGTTAGGGGTCGTTTGCCATAGAGAAAGTCTTTTCTTTTAAGTAGGTGTGATGGAGAATTGTGATACCATCTCAGAGAAAGCATTGCAATATCGACCTGAGATCAACATTTAATTTGATGACTAAAGAAAGCCTGTTCGACGAAGGTGGGATTCGAACCCACGCGTGCAGAGCACAATGGATTAGCAGTCCATCGCCTTAACCTCTCGGCCACCTCGTCGACATGAAAGGGATCGTGTGGCTTATTTTCCTCTCTATAACAATATGACAAATCGTTCTGTGACTCGCTAGGTCCGTTTAGAGGGGATTCATGTGAAAAGCATGCCTAACAATGATAAACAGTACATAGGAATTTTCTATGGCCTGAACTTTTGCCCACCTGTTTCCTTACTGGACGGTGAAACGTCAGCTGGTATTGAACTGTGGGCGTCATGAAGTACTGAAATAGCATGTTAGAAAGGGTATTGCGGGTCTGACCTCAAGTGCACATCAGTGTACAACAGTTGTGTCATGTTTGAAGACAGCCTTTGTTGTTGAAGTTAGGATTGGATCTCACGCATCCAGAGCAAAGCAGATTCGCAGTCCACCTCCCTGACCTTTCGGCCAAATCGGAGGAAGTCTTGGTTGTCGTTTGCCGTAGAGAAATTCTTTCTTTCAAATCAGTGTCAGGTAGAATGGAAAGAGCACCTCAGAGCAAACATTGCACTTTTGACCGGAGGTCAACGTTCACTGTTAGTTTGATGACTAAAGAAGCTCTTTCCGACGAAGGTGGGATTCGAACCCACGCGTGCAGAGCACAATGGATTAGCAGTCCATCGCCTTAACCACTCGGCCACCTCGTCCACACGAGGGAGCAGAGGTGCGTGTTCCTCGCTATAAGAACAAATCTAAGCGTTCTAGCGCTAACTATGTCCATTTAAGAGGGCTGAATGGCAAACACATGTCTAACCTTTAGAAACAGTACACTGCAACTTTCTATGGCCTAAATTTTTGCCCACCTGTTTCTGTACTACACATTAAAATGTCATTCATATATTTTTAACAATATGTAGAGTGCGTGTCATGGAGTACTGCCATAGCATCTCAGAACAAGCACTGCACTTGTACTTTTCTGTGATAATAAAATAAATCTTTCTAGAGCTAACTATGTTTGTTTAACAGAGATTCATGTCAAACACATGTCTACAAATGTCAAACAGTACATTGGAACCTTCGACGCCCTACGTTTTTGACGCCCTGTTTATTTACTGGACAGTGAAGTGTCATTTGGTACTGAAATGTCGGCCAAACTTTTTACACTAAATAAGGTGGCGTCCTGAAATATTGAAATAGCAACTGAGATCCAGTAATGCACACTTGACTTCAAGAGCACATCAGTCTTCAACAATTGTGTGATATTTAAAGATGTCCTCGTAGACGAAGCTGGGTTTGGATCCCATGCATCCAGAGCACAACGGATTAGAAAGTCCACCTCCCTAAACTTTCGTCCAGCTCGGAAAAAGAATTAGGAGTTTTTTGCCGTGTTGAATTTTTTTCTTTTACGTAGGTTTCATGGAGAATTGAACTATCATCTCAGAACAGAAATTGAACCTTTGACCTCGGGAGCAGATCAAGGTACAACATTAGTTTGGTGACTAAATATAGCCTTTTTGACAATGATGGGATTCAATCCCATGTGTGCGGAGCTCAACAGGTTAACAGTCCATCCCTCTAACCGTTCAGTCAATTGGGAAAAGGCATAGTGTGTCGTTTGCCATATAGAAATTTCTTCTTTTGGATAGGTTTCATGGAGAATTGCAATATCATCTCAGCACAAGAATAACACCTTTGACCTCAGGAGCAGACCATGGTTCAACTTTACTTTGATGACTAAAGACAGCCTTTTCAACGAAGAAGGGATCTTCTGCTAAAACTTTTGGCCAACTCGTAAAAGTTGTTAGGGGTCGTTTGCCATAGAGAAAGTTTTTTCTTTTAAGTAGGTGTGATGGAGAATTGTGATACCATCTCAGAGAAAGCATTGCAATATCGACCTGAGATCAACATTTAATTTGATGACTAAAGAAAGCCTGTTCGACGAAGGTGGGATTCGAACCCACGCGTGCAGAGCACAATGGATTAGCAGTCCATCGCCTTAACCTCTCGGCCACCTCGTCGACATGAAAGGGATCGTGTGGCTTATTTTCCTCTCTATAACAATATGACAAATCGTTCTGTGACTCGCTAGGTCCGTTTAGAGGGGATTCATGTGAAAAGCATGCCTAACAATGATAAACAGTACATAGGAATTTTCTATGGCCTAAACTTTTGCCCACCTGTTTCCTTACTGGACGGTGAAACGTCAGCTGGTATTGAACTGTGGGCGTCATGAAGTACTGAAATAGCATGTTAGAAAGGGTATTGCGCGTCTGACCTCAAGTGCACATCAGTGTACAACAGTTGTGTCATGTTTGAAGACAGCCTTTGTTGTTGAAGTTAGGATTGGATCTCACGCATCCAGAGCAAAGCAGATTCGCAGTCCACCTCCCTGACCTTTCGGCCAAATCGGAGGAAGTCTTGGTTGTCGTTTGCCGTAGAGAAATTCTTTCTTTCAAATCAGTGTCAGGTAGAATGGAAAGAGCACCTCAGAGCAAACATTGCACTTTTGACCGGAGGTCAACGTTCACTGTTAGTTTGATGACTAAAGAAGCTCTTTCCGACGAAGGTGGGATTCGAACCCACGCGTGCAGAGCACAATGGATTAGCAGTCCATCGCCTTAACCACTCGGCCACCTCGTCCACACGAGGGAGCAGAGGTGCGTGTTCCTCGCTATAAGAACAAATCTAAGCGTTCTAGCGCTAACTATGTCCATTTAAGAGGGCTGAATGGCAAACACATGTCTAACCTTTAGAAACAGTACACTGCAACTTTCTATGGCCTAAATTTTTGCCCACCTGTTTCTGTACTACACATTAAAATGTCATTCATATATTTTTAACAATATGTAGAGTGCGTGTCATGGAGTACTGCCATAGCATCTCAGAACAAGCACTGCACTTGTACTTTTCTGTGATAATAAAATAAATCTTTCTAGAGCTAACTATGTTTGTTTAACAGAGATTCATGTCAAACACATGTCTACAAATGTCAAACAGTACAGTGGAACCTTCGACGCCCTACGTTTTTGACGCCCTGTTTATTTACTGGACAGTGAAGTGTCATTTGGTACTGAAATGTCGGCCAAACTTTTTACACTAAATAAGGTGGCGTCCTGAAATATTGAAATAGCAACTGAGATCCAGTAATGCACACTTGACTTCAAGAGCACATCAGTCTTCAACAATTGTGTGATATTTAAAGATGTCCTCGTAGACGAAGCTGGGTTTGGATCCCATGCATCCAGAGCACAACGGATTAGAAGTCCACCTCCCTAAACTTTCGTCCAGCTCGGAAAAAGAATTAGGAGTTTTTTGCCGTGTTGAATTTTTTTCTTTTACGTAGGTTTCATGGAGAATTGAACTATCATCTCAGAACAGAAATTGAACCTTTGACCTCGGGAGCAGATCAAGGTACAACATTAGTTTGGTGACTAAATATAGCCTTTTTGACAATGATGGGATTCAATCCCATGTGTGCGGAGCTCAACAGGTTAACAGTCCATCCCTCTAACCGTTCAGTCAATTGGGAAAAGGCATAGTGTGTCGTTTGCCATATAGAAATTTCTTCTTTTGGATAGGTTTCATGGAGAATTGCAATATCATCTCAGCACAAGAATAACACCTTTGACCTCAGGAGCAGACCATGGTTCAACTTTACTTTGATGACTAAAGACAGCCTTTTCAACGAAGAAGGGATCTTCTGCTAAAACTTTTGGCCAACTCGTAAAAGTTGTTAGGGGTCGTTTGCCATAGAGAAAGTTTTTTCTTTTAAGTAGGTGTGATGGAGAATTGTGATACCATCTCAGAGAAAGCATTGCAATATCGACCTGAGATCAACATTTAATTTGATGACTAAAGAAAGCCTGTTCGACGAAGGTGGGATTCGAACCCACGCGTGCAGAGCACAATGGATTAGCAGTCCATCGCCTTAACCTCTCGGCCACCTCGTCGACATGAAAGGGATCGTGTGGCTTATTTTCCTCTCTATAACAATATGACAAATCGTTCTGTGACTCGCTAGGTCCGTTTAGAGGGGATTCATGTGAAAAGCATGCCTAACAATGATAAACAGTACATAGGAATTTTCTATGGCCTGAACTTTTGCCCACCTGTTTCCTTACTGGACGGTGAAACGTCAGCTGGTATTGAACTGTGGGCGTCATGAAGTACTGAAATAGCATGTTAGAAAGGGTATTGCGGGTCTGACCTCAAGTGCACATCAGTGTACAACAGTTGTGTCATGTTTGAAGACAGCCTTTGTTGTTGAAGTTAGGATTGGATCTCACGCATCCAGAGCAAAGCAGATTCGCAGTCCACCTCCCTGACCTTTCGGCCAAATCGGAGGAAGTCTTGGTTGTCGTTTGCCGTAGAGAAATTCTTTCTTTCAAATCAGTGTCAGGTAGAATGGAAAGAGCACCTCAGAGCAAACATTGCACTTTTGACCGGAGGTCAACGTTCACTGTTAGTTTGATGACTAAAGAAGCTCTTTCCGACGAAGGTGGGATTCGAACCCACGCGTGCAGAGCACAATGGATTAGCAGTCCATCGCCTTAACCACTCGGCCACCTCGTCCACACGAGGGAGCAGAGGTGCGTGTTCCTCGCTATAAGAACAAATCTAAGCGTTCTAGCGCTAACTATGTCCATTTAAGAGGGCTGAATGGCAAACACATGTCTAACCTTTAGAAACAGTACACTGCAACTTTCTATGGCCTAAATTTTTGCCCACCTGTTTCTGTACTACACATTAAAATGTCATTCATATATTTTTAACAATATGTAGAGTGCGTGTCATGGAGTACTGCCATAGCATCTCAGAACAAGCACTGCACTTGTACTTTTCTGTGATAATAAAATAAATCTTTCTAGAGCTAACTATGTTTGTTTAACAGAGATTCATGTCAAACACATGTCTACAAATGTCAAACAGTACATTGGAACCTTCGACGCCCTACGTTTTTGACGCCCTGTTTATTTACTGGACAGTGAAGTGTCATTTGGTACTGAAATGTCGGCCAAACTTTTTACACTAAATAAGGTGGCGTCCTGAAATATTGAAATAGCAACTGAGATCCAGTAATGCACACTTGACTTCAAGAGCACATCAGTCTTCAACAATTGTGTGATATTTAAAGATGTCCTCGTAGACGAAGCTGGGTTTGGATCCCATGCATCCAGAGCACAACGGATTAGAAGTCCACCTCCCTAAACTTTCGTCCAGCTCGGAAAAAGAATTAGGAGTTTTTTGCCGTGTTGAATTTTTTTCTTTTACGTAGGTTTCATGGAGAATTGAACTATCATCTCAGAACAGAAATTGAACCTTTGACCTCGGGAGCAGATCAAGGTACAACATTAGTTTGGTGACTAAATATAGCCTTTTTGACAATGATGGGATTCAATCCCATGTGTGCGGAGCTCAACAGGTTAACAGTCCATCCCTCTAACCGTTCAGTCAATTGGGAAAAGGCATAGTGTGTCGTTTGCCATATAGAAATTTCTTCTTTTGGATAGGTTTCATGGAGAATTGCAATATCATCTCAGCACAAGAATAACACCTTTGACCTCAGGAGCAGACCATGGTTCAACTTTACTTTGATGACTAAAGACAGCCTTTTCAACGAAGAAGGGATCTTCTGCTAAAACTTTTGGCCAACTCGTAAAAGTTGTTAGGGGTCGTTTGCCATAGAGAAAGTTTTTTCTTTTAAGTAGGTGTGATGGAGAATTGTGATACCATCTCAGAGAAAGCATTGCAATATCGACCTGAGATCAACATTTAATTTGATGACTAAAGAAAGCCTGTTCGACGAAGGTGGGATTCGAACCCACGCGTGCAGAGCACAATGGATTAGCAGTCCATCGCCTTAACCTCTCGGCCACCTCGTCGACATGAAAGGGATCGTGTGGCTTATTTTCCTCTCTATAACAATATGACAAATCGTTCTGTGACTCGCTAGGTCCGTTTAGAGGGGATTCATGTGAAAAGCATGCCTAACAATGATAAACAGTACATAGGAATTTTCTATGGCCTAAACTTTTGCCCACCTGTTTCCTTACTGGACGGTGAAACGTCAGCTGGTATTGAACTGTGGGCGTCATGAAGTACTGAAATAGCATGTTAGAAAGGGTATTGCGGGTCTGACCTCAAGTGCACATCAGTGTACAACAGTTGTGTCATGTTTGAAGACAGCCTTTGTTGTTGAAGTTAGGATTGGATCTCACGCATCCAGAGCAAAGCAGATTCGCAGTCCACCTCCCTGACCTTTCGGCCAAATCGGAGGAAGTCTTGGTTGTCGTTTGCCGTAGAGAAATTCTTTCTTTCAAATCAGTGTCAGGTAGAATGGAAAGAGCACCTCAGAGCAAACATTGCACTTTTGACCGGAGGTCAACGTTCACTGTTAGTTTGATGACTAAAGAAGCTCTTTCCGACGAAGGTGGGATTCGAACCCACGCGTGCAGAGCACAATGGATTAGCAGTCCATCGCCTTAACCACTCGGCCACCTCGTCCACACGAGGGAGCAGAGGTGCGTGTTCCTCGCTATAAGAACAAATCTAAGCGTTCTAGCGCTAACTATGTCCATTTAAGAGGGCTGAATGGCAAACACATGTCTAACCTTTAGAAACAGTACACTGCAACTTTCTATGGCCTAAATTTTTGCCCACCTGTTTCTGTACTACACATTAAAATGTCATTCATATATTTTTAACAATATGTAGAGTGCGTGTCATGGAGTACTGCCATAGCATCTCAGAACAAGCACTGCACTTGTACTTTTCTGTGATAATAAAATAAATCTTTCTAGAGCTAACTATGTTTGTTTAACAGAGATTCATGTCAAACACATGTCTACAAATGTCAAACAGTACATTGGAACCTTCGACGCCCTACGTTTTTGACGCCCTGTTTATTTACTGGACAGTGAAGTGTCATTTGGTACTGAAATGTCGGCCAAACTTTTTACACTAAATAAGGTGGCGTCCTGAAATATTGAAATAGCAACTGAGATCCAGTAATGCACACTTGACTTCAAGAGCACATCAGTCTTCAACAATTGTGTGATATTTAAAGATGTCCTCGTAGACGAAGCTGGGTTTGGATCCCATGCATCCAGAGCACAACGGATTAGAAGTCCACCTCCCTAACCTTTCGTCCAGCTCGGAAAAAGAATTAGGAGTTTTTTGCCGTGTTGAATTTTTTTCTTTTACGTAGGTTTCATGGAGAATTGAAATATCATCTCAGAACAGAAATTGAACCTTTGACCTCGGGAGCAGATCAAGGTACAACATTAGTTTGGTGACTAAATATAGCCTTTTTGACAATGATGGGATTCAATCCCATGTGTGCGGAGCTCAACAGGTTAACAGTCCATCCCTCTAACCGTTCAGTCAACTGGGAAAAGGCATAGTGTGTCGTTTGCCATATAGAAATTTCTTCTTTTGGATAGGTTTCATGGAGAATTGCAATATCATCTCAGCACAAGAATAACACCTTTGACCTCAGGAGCAGACCATGGTTCAACTTTACTTTGATGACTAAAGACAGCCTTTTCAACGAAGAAGGGATCTTCTGCTAAAACTTTTGGCCAACTCGTAAAAGTTGTTAGGGGTCGTTTGCCATAGAGAAAGTCTTTTCTTTTAAGTAGGTGTGATGGAGAATTGTGATACCATCTCAGAGAAAGCATTGCAATATCGACCTGAGATCAACATTTAATTTGATGACTAAAGAAAGCCTGTTCGACGAAGGGGGGATTCGAACCCACGCGTGCAGAGCACAATGGATTAGCAGTCCATCGCCTTAACCTCTCGGCCACCTCGTCGACATGAAAGGGATCGTGTGGCTTATTTTCCTCTCTATAACAATATGACAAATCGTTCTGTGACTCGCTAGGTCCGTTTAGAGGGGATTCATGTGAAAAGCATGCCTAACAATGATAAACAGTACATAGGAATTTTCTATGGCCTAAACTTTTGCCCACCTGTTTCCTTACTGGACGGTGAAACGTCAGCTGGTATTGAACTGTGGGCGTCATGAAGTACTGAAATAGCATGTTAGAAAGGGTATTGCGGGTCTGACCTCAAGTGCACATCAGTTGTGTCATGTTTGAAGACAGCCTTTGTTGTTGAAGTTAGGATTGGATCTCACGCATCCAGAGCAAAGCAGATTCGCAGTCCACCTCCCTGACCTTTCGGCCAAATCGGAGGAAGTCTTGGTTGTCGTTTGCCGTAGAGAAATTCTTTCTTTCAAATCAGTGTCAGGTAGAATGGAAAGAGCACCTCAGAGCAAACATTGCACTTTTGACCGGAGGTCAACGTTCACTGTTAGTTTGATGACTAAAGAAGCTCTTTCCGACGAAGGTGGGATTCGAACCCACGCGTGCAGAGCACAATGGATTAGCAGTCCATCGCCTTAACCACTCGGCCACCTCGTCCACACGAGGGAGCAGAGGTGCGTGTTCCTCGCTATAAGAACAAATCTAAGCGTTCTAGCGCTAACTATGTCCATTTAAGAGGGCTGAATGGCAAACACATGTCTAACCTTTAGAAACAGTACACTGCAACTTTCTATGGCCTAAATTTTTGCCCACCTGTTTCTGTACTACACATTAAAATGTCATTCATATATTTTTAACAATATGTAGAGTGCGTGTCATGGAGTACTGCCATAGCATCTCAGAACAAGCACTGCACTTGTACTTTTCTGTGATAATAAAATAAATCTTTCTAGAGCTAACTATGTTTGTTTAACAGAGATTCATGTCAAACACATGTCTACAAATGTCAAACAGTACATTGGAACCTTCGACGCCCTACGTTTTTGACGCCCTGTTTATTTACTGGACAGTGAAGTGTCATTTGGTACTGAAATGTCGGCCAAACTTTTTACACTAAATAAGGTGGCGTCCTGAAATATTGAAATAGCAACTGAGATCCAGTAATGCACACTTGACTTCAAGAGCACATCAGTCTTCAACAATTGTGTGATATTTAAAGATGTCCTCGTAGACGAAGCTGGGTTTGGATCCCATGCATCCAGAGCACAACGGATTAGAAGTCCACCTCCCTAAACTTTCGTCCAGCTCGGAAAAAGAATTAGGAGTTTTTTGCCGTGTTGAATTTTTTTCTTTTACGTAGGTTTCATGGAGAATTGAACTATCATCTCAGAACAGAAATTGAACCTTTGACCTCGGGAGCAGATCAAGGTACAACATTAGTTTGGTGACTAAATATAGCCTTTTTGACAATGATGGGATTCAATCCCATGTGTGCGGAGCTCAACAGGTTAACAGTCCATCCCTCTAACCGTTCAGTCAATTGGGAAAAGGCATAGTGTGTCGTTTGCCATATAGAAATTTCTTCTTTTGGATAGGTTTCATGGAGAATTGCAATATCATCTCAGCACAAGAATAACACCTTTGACCTCAGGAGCAGACCATGGTTCAACTTTACTTTGATGACTAAAGACAGCCTTTTCAACGAAGAAGGGATCTTCTGCTAAAACTTTTGGCCAACTCGTAAAAGTTGTTAGGGGTCGTTTGCCATAGAGAAAGTCTTTTCTTTTAAGTAGGTGTGATGGAGAATTGTGATACCATCTCAGAGAAAGCATTGCAATATCGACCTGAGATCAACATTTAATTTGATGACTAAAGAAAGCCTGTTCGACGAAGGTGGGATTCGAACCCACGCGTGCAGAGCACAATGGATTAGCAGTCCATCGCCTTAACCTCTCGGCCACCTCGTCGACATGAAAGGGATCGTGTGGCTTATTTTCCTCTCTATAACAATATGACAAATCGTTCTGTGACTCGCTAGGTCCGTTTAGAGGGGATTCATGTGAAAAGCATGCCTAACAATGATAAACAGTACATAGGAATTTTCTATGGCCTAAACTTTTGCCCACCTGTTTCCTTACTGGACGGTGAAACGTCAGCTGGTATTGAACTGTGGGCGTCATGAAGTACTGAAATAGCATGTTAGAAAGGGTATTGCGGGTCTGACCTCAAGTGCACATCAGTGTACAACAGTTGTGTCATGTTTGAAGACAGCCTTTGTTGTTGAAGTTAGGATTGGATCTCACACATCCAGAGCAAAGCAGATTCGCAGTCCACCTCCCTGACCTTTCGGCCAAATCGGAGGAAGTCTTGGTTGTCGTTTGCCGTAGAGAAATTCTTTCTTTCAAATCAGTGTCAGGTAGAATGGAAAGAGCACCTCAGAGCAAACATTGCACTTTTGACCGGAGGTCAACGTTCACTGTTAGTTTGATGACTAAAGAAGCTCTTTCCGACGAAGGTGGGATTCGAACCCACGCGTGCAGAGCACAATGGATTAGCAGTCCATCGCCTTAACCACTCGGCCACCTCGTCCACACGAGGGAGCAGAGGTGCGTGTTCCTCGCTATAAGAACAAATCTAAGCGTTCTAGCGCTAACTATGTCCATTTAAGAGGGCTGAATGGCAAACACATGTCTAACCTTTAGAAACAGTACACTGCAACTTTCTATGGCCTAAATTTTTGCCCACCTGTTTCTGTACTACACATTAAAATGTCATTCATATATTTTTAACAATATGTAGAGTGCGTGTCATGGAGTACTGCCATAGCATCTCAGAACAAGCACTGCACTTGTACTTTTCTGTGATAATAAAATAAATCTTTCTAGAGCTAACTATGTTTGTTTAACAGAGATTCATGTCAAACACATGTCTACAAATGTCAAACAGTACATTGGAACCTTCGACGCCCTACGTTTTTGACGCCCTGTTTATTTACTGGACAGTGAAGTGTCATTTGGTACTGAAATGTCGGCCAAACTTTTTACACTAAATAAGGTGGCGTCCTGAAATATTGAAATAGCAACTGAGATCCAGTAATGCACACTTGACTTCAAGAGCACATCAGTCTTCAACAATTGTGTGATATTTAAAGATGTCCTCGTAGACGAAGCTGGGTTTGGATCCCATGCATCCAGAGCACAACGGATTAGAAGTCCACCTCCCTAACCTTTCGTCCAGCTCGGAAAAAGAATTAGGAGTTTTTTGCCGTGTTGAATTTTTTTCTTTTACGTAGGTTTCATGGAGAATTGAACTATCATCTCAGAACAGAAATTGAACCTTTGACCTCGGGAGCAGATCAAGGTACAACATTAGTTTGGTGACTAAATATAGCCTTTTTGACAATGATGGGATTCAATCCCATGTGTGCGGAGCTCAACAGGTTAACAGTCCATCCCTCTAACCGTTCAGTCAATTGGGAAAAGGCATAGTGTGTCGTTTGCCATATAGAAATTTCTTCTTTTGGATAGGTTTCATGGAGAATTGCAATATCATCTCAGCACAAGAATAACACCTTTGACCTCAGGAGCAGACCATGGTTCAACTTTACTTTGATGACTAAAGACAGCCTTTTCAACGAAGAAGGGATCTTCTGCTAAAACTTTTGGCCAACTCGTAAAAGTTGTTAGGGGTCGTTTGCCATAGAGAAAGTCTTTTCTTTTAAGTAGGTGTGATGGAGAATGGTGATACCATCTCAGAGAAAGCATTGCAATATCGACCTGAGATCAACATTTAATTTGATGACTAAAGAAAGCCTGTTCGACGAAGGTGGGATTCGAACCCACGCGTGCAGAGCACAATGGATTAGCAGTCCATCGCCTTAACCTCTCGGCCACCTCGTCGACATGAAAGGGATCGTGTGGCTTATTTTCCTCTCTATAACAATATGACAAATCGTTCTGTGACTCGCTAGGTCCGTTTAGAGGGGATTCATGTGAAAAGCATGCCTAACAATGATAAACAGTACATAGGAATTTTCTATGGCCTAAACTTTTGCCCACCTGTTTCCTTACTGGACGGTGAAACGTCAGCTGGTATTGAACTGTGGGCATCATGAAGTACTGAAATAGCATGTTAGAAAGGGTATTGCGGGTCTGACCTCAAGTGCACATCAGTGTTCAATAGTTGTGTCATGTTTGAAGACGGCCTTTGTTGTTGAAGCTGGGATTGGATCTTACACATGCAGAGCACAGCAGTTCAGCAGCATTTGTAACATGCCACATTTCTTTACTCAAGAAGGACCTATAGTGCCATTAGTTCGGTTTTCATTTGCATATTTTTTTGACAAATTGAAAAAAGTCCCCATGGCAACACACATTGTCGAATAGAATCGCAAAAAGTGTTCAAGTACAGCTTAAAGGTTTGTATGCTTTCTAGGTGTGGATTATTTCTTTGCTGATAAAAAAACAACTGTTATAACTTAAAATGGAAATACATATGCACTATTTATTTGGCAAAAAAGAACAGAATAATGTCATATGACTAATCATGTTTCGGTTTTTGTACTCTGAAACCTGACTGAGTGCGCAAAGATCAAGCTATTTAAACTAACGTGATGCATGAATGGAGAGGTGTTCAAATCTTGATGAGAATTTTCTTAAAAGGGAAACAAACATACATTCTTAACACATTATACAGAATATATATTTTCACATTTTATAAGCAACTAGGACTGGCGACTTGTCCAGGGTATATCCTGCCTTCCACCCAATGACAGCTGGGAAAGGCTCCAGCACCCCACCATGACCCAGAAGGATAAGCGGTTTAGATGATGTATGTATGTATGTATAAGCAACTATAAATATGATATTGTCAGAGGTGTGTAGAGCAAACTTAACCCATCCTCATGTAAAAGCATTACTACAACATACAAAGTTACTTCAGTAAAATAATGACTTAATCAGAAGCCTAGCCTAGCAAAGCACAGCTGGGATAGTAGGAGTAAAAAGTATAAGTATAATTGATTTTTGACTGAGTGTTACTCAAGAGATCTCAAAATGTATTTCTCAAAGGATTGCTCACCAAAGTTATGAAGTGATTCAAAAAGATTTATTTTATCCACACAACTAAGAGTTAAACAAAAAGAAGATATGAATCAAAGCATCAGACCAAAGATCTGTTCTCCCAAAGGATGTGCAGTGCGTTTTAAAGGCCCAGTTACGTAACACAAAAGGGATGATGCAGAAATTATTGGTTGGTGTAATAGTTGACTAAAAGTATATTTGAACAATATAGTGTCCCTTTTCTCTAGATAGAATTAATATTAGAATTACTTAATATTAGAAGGGCAATTGGCTGAATTTTCCAAAACTGGTCATTAAGGAGCTTATGTGTATGCAGAAAATGACATGTTGATAAAAAGCATAACTAAAAAAAGCCAGACCCAGACACCTTAGGAAACAAGACGCTAAATTTGATCAACTAGCAATGTTACATGTCCGGATCTTTTGCAAGACCCTTGAGTGACGTACAGAGCGCCCTGTACCAACATAGAGTACATGTCGAACAATCAACCAGTTATAACCAAATTATAATTAAACAAACAGCCAAATCATAATCAGATTTGCATCTGACCATGATACCATTCTGATTAACCTTAAATTAAAAGTGATTAGATGTTATTTCATTAAAAAACATTAATGACACATAATCAACTGCCACAGGATAAAAATTACTAATGATTACTCTTTTACTACTTTTTTAACTAACTACTCTTTTAGTTGATGTCTATTAGAAACCTTGCTTAATACCCATTAATAACCAGTAGATTCATCAAGTATCCAATCAGACCAACAAGGATTAATCTCAAACACATGTCTAACAATGATAAACAATGCATTAGGACTTTCTATGCACTAATTATTAGTTCATCTCTTTCTTTACTGGACAATGAAACGTTAGTTGGTACTGATCTGTCTGCTATATTTTTAACAGTAATTAGATTGGTGTTATGAAATTTTTAAATAGCATCTCACATCAAGCATTGCATGCTGGACCTCAAGTGCAGATTAATGTTCAATTTAAGTTTGATACATAAAGAAACTCTTTTACAAAGGTGAGATTCAAACCCACACACAGTGTAGTAGCACAGTGAATTAGCATGTCATCATTTTAACTTCACGACCACCTCATCCACTTGAAAAAAAAATGCGTGTTGTTTGTCAGAGAGCATTTTTTATAAGATTAAACCTAATCCTTTTATAGCAACAATGTCAGTTTAACAGTGATTAATGTCAAACACATCTAACACCGATAAAGAGTACATTAGAACTTTTTATGCGCTAAATTTGTGTCCACCTCTTTCCTTACTGGATTGTGAGACTTCTAAAGAAACTTTGCCAAAAAAAGCCAGAATCCAACCCATGCATGCAGAGTACAATGGATAAATAGTCCACCAGCTTATCCTCTCAGCCACTCTAACAAACAAAACACAATTTTGAGTGAAAATTATGCCCATTTAACAGGGATTAAACTCAAACACAATGATAAACAGTACATTGAGACTTGCCATGGCCTAAATTTTTGCCCACCTGTTTCCTTACTTGACAGTGAAATGTCAGTTGGAACTGAACTGTCTGATCAGTGTCTAGGGTGATGTTATGAAGCATAAAAATAGCATTGCAGAACAAGTCGAGTCAAGTCAAAGTTTATTTACGCTCAAACACTGCTTTGGGACAACAGGCAGCTTTACAGAAAAATCTGGGTCCATGCTCCCATGAGCTTCGAAAAACTCCTTAAGAGCAAGAGGAGAAAACAGGAACCAAGACTCAAAAGGGGAACCCATACTCCTCTGGTCGACACCAGATAGCAAAATAATACGCAAGAGCAATATGAACAGAGAACAAGCATTGTATGCTTGAATCTAAGCTCTTTCTCTTACAGAAATTAAATCCTGGATACAAGCCAGCTTTTTACAACTCAACTGGGGAAAATCAGAAATGATTGTACCAGAAAACACCCACAATTTCTGATTCCCCATTGATGGCTCCACTGTGTTTCCCTCCCCACATATCCGTAACCTTGGAGTCACTTTTGACAGCAACCTGTCCTTTGAACATCATGTCAATCAAATCAACAAAACTGTCTTCCTCCATTTAAAGAACTCAGCTTGTCTCCACCCATTTCTCTCCTTCTCTGCTGCTAAAAGTCTAATCCATCCAGATTTGACTACTACATTACTATTCCTAATGGCATATGATCCAAAAATCCAAAAGAAACTATAGCATATTCAGGACTCTGCTGAACTCAGGCTGCTTGCCTGCTCACCCACTCCTGATCTCCTGACCACATCACTCCTGTCCTCCAGAAAATCCACTGGCTGAACTACACACAACAAATCTAGTTCAGAGTTCTCCTCCTGACCCACAAAGCTCCCCACAACCACACCCCTTCCTACCTCACTGACCTGCTCCATCACTACTGTCCTTTTCGCTGTCTCCCTCCTTTTTTCACCTCAAGGGACCAAGCACCAGACCTGTGGTGACAAAGCCTTTTCCATAGCTGCCTTCACCTTCTGAGGCTCTCTCCCCAAACACATCTGTGACTGCACCAATCTAAGTTCAAATCACTTGTCAAAACTTTTCAGAACTGCTTTGAACTTATGATCTGTATAATGTCATTTTTGGTATTTTGTTTAGTGTTTAATTTGATATTTAAACCTCATGTAAAGTGTCTATTATTATATATTAAGCATTGAAATAGCATCACAGAACAAGTAATGAATCCAGATCAGAGTTCAATATCTTTTTAATGACTAAAGAAATCTTTGTGGGATTCAAGCTTACATGTGTAGGGCACAATAGATAAGCAGTACATTGCCCTAACTACTTAGCCACCTTGTCAGCTTGAAAAGAAATTGAGAGTCATAAACCTAGTTGCACACAAGAGCTTTTGCCAAGTACTGCTGCTACAGCATGCTGCTAACATACAGTAATACTGCAAGTCTCATAAGGTGTGTTTGTAAATTAGCATTTTTGCAGTAGGGTGTTGAATAATTGGATAAATACAGGCTTATTATGAAGCAGTTTGAAAGGTGTCTGCATTAAACATTGTCAATTAATGGCAAACAATTTGACTGTATCCAAAAACGTATTTTACAATGAGTTTGAACATGTCTCAGTCATTCAGATTTTAGAACTGACCTTCATGGCCCAAAAAGCACTGACTGTAGACTGTGGGCAAACAGGGCTAGGCATCTTGGAATCTTTTTCACTTTATGTAATATGTCACAACATGTTCAACTGTGTGAAATTTTTCTTTGAAAGAAGAGGGTGGGCTTAGCCCCACTAGCTCATTCATACCAGACACCCTCAAATGTCATTGCATTTATTTGTTGGTAACTTTTTTCATTTCTGTAAGTTTAAAAGTACCCCACTGTAGAGCAAACAATGCCTCATTTAAGAGGGATGAAATGCAAGTTTAACAAGTTTAATTTTAACAAAAACTCAACATAACATCAATCGTAGTTCAATCATTTTTCAACCTTTAGAAAATTCTATTACTACAGTAAACCAATGTCAAAGACATCCTGACATCCTGCTTTTGGCTTGTTTTTCACATGATTGTGCATCTACTATAAATCAATATATATTTAATGTCTTTATGGCCAATGTTAAGAACTTCCAACTTTCAAAGCTGTCATTGTATTATGGCCAATCTGCCTTCTTTTCTGAGCCCTCCAGTCACTGCTTAGCAATTGTTGCTATCCGCCAGTCAGTTCGTTGCACACCAGTTTTGAATTTGAAGCTCCAGTTGTGGTAAGAAGATTTCTACCCATCCAAGGCCAAAAAAAACAAAGTGTGTTATCTGTGAATTTGGTGCTCACATTACGCTTTTACTACAAAGTCTGGATGGGCTTTGTGAAAATGTCAAAGCAAATGTCTAACGTTACTTCAGTGCCTCAAGTCATCAATGGTAAGATGGACCATAAATATTTTTAAGCCTGCTGTAGCCTTGGATGATTAGGTTTAAGTTTTTTAAGTTTGCTGTATCTTTGACTTTGTACATCTCACTTGTCTGATTTTAACTCAGCTTGTGTCGTCTTCATTGGGCAAATGTGCCTGTGG